TCATTGAAGGGCTGAGCTACAATTCCTCCCCCCCCCCCAGAATATAAGAGTGAGAATGATTCTTCCAAGTTCCTTCTGCCACCATACCACATAAACATAAAGGCAAACAAATGGGGTAGAAAACATCAGTCCTGCCACAGAGATTCTCAATCTTCCAGGCTTTTTGGATGAGGTGAAACGTTTTCAAAGAAAAAAACCCAAGGAAGTCCAGTTGTCTTTTAGAAAAAAGCATCTGTCCTGTCCATTTCTGTGAGTCCACCTTAGTCTTGTCATTGTGGTCCTCTGAAAGATCAGGAGGCCAAACGTAACCCCTGAAGATCTTTCTTATTCTTGCTTCAGAGGACCACAGGAGATCAAAGATGGAGAAACAGGTGTATGTCCACAAGGTCTTGATTTTTCAACCCAGAATGTAGCCTTCTTGTCAACCTTTATTTTGAGGGAACAGAGCTGACTGCTGTAACAGGCCTGGAGGTCTATAACCTCTTCCCTCCCCAGAGTAAAGACGATGGCTTGTCAAAGAGCAGCATTATTGCTTAGCTGACCCAAGAATGCTTCTGCACTGTTGTGACTATAGCAGATTTTTTTTTTTGAAATGTCCCTTTCACATCAGAGCTTACTTAAACTAAACTAAAGAAATCAGTCTTGTTGGCGGATTTTTTTGTCCATCTCTATGAAATGCTGGAAAAAGCTTCCTGTAACTTAAATCAGGTGGCCTCAGCAGATAACAACACCTGGCTGCCCTCACTAGATTAGAAGACTCAGGGAATCAACACAGTTATGGTGAAATGCTCCCATGCAGGGGTTCCCCCAACTTCCCCCCCCCCAGTCCGTGGACTGGCACTGGTCTGTGGCGTGCCAGAAACTGGGCCGTACAAACAAGTGAAGCCCCATCTGCGGGATGTAAGCAGCACGTGAAACCACACACACACCCCTCCATGAAAGAACCTTTCTTCTCTGAATGAGTCCCTGGTGCTCAAAAGGTTGGGGGCTGTTGCTCCCATGAACTAATATGGCCACTAGGGGGCACTGTAAAACCACAAAATGTACAGGGCAGGCTTGAAATCATCCTGCTCCAAAGATTTCTATCAATTACAGCAGTGGCCGAAATTGTGGAAACCTTTTGAGAAAAGTGTATTTTTGAAGTTTGATGGCTAATAACACCACTTTTTTTGGAGTAGTACCATAAAATTATATATCAATGGAAAGATAATTTAATCAATAATGTAATGCAACAAAGTTTGCTCAATTATCTGTATTGTATTCTATGAAAAGTTATAGCCAGAAAAAGGAAGCACAACTTGCTTAGGTTGATATCAGGTAGCTTTCCTTCATCTGATTGTAGCCAATGAGCATGAGTGTTTAGAGAGCCAATCAGGTTTCATCTTGTTTTGGCAATGAGCCAATCAGATAACAGTAGGATTCAGTTATTGATGTCATGTATTGAAGCTGAGAGGAGGACATTTGTCAGTGTGTTATGTGATCGCTATCAAGTTGGTTGGGGTTTTTTGTGTTCTTTCATTTAGTGAGCTTGTAAAATGTAATAAAATTAAAGATGCAAAGAGATGACTGGTCGCCTAGAAAGCGATGTAAAATAGTATTATTAAGTGAACAAGGCTACAGTTATAAAGAAATTAGAAGAAAAATGGGTGGAAACTTAATCAAAGGTGGCATTTCTACTGTACACTTTTCCCAAAAGATTTCCACAATTTTGGCTACTACCGTATAGGCTGCTTGTCTAAGCTGTTGTTTTTTTATCACCATTTAAAGGCTACTGTTTGGATTCATTTTAGTCGCTTTACAGCAGAAAAAAGCCAATGAAAATTACACCAAACCACATTCTGGGGGTTGAGCTCAACTCGGAGACCTTCCCTTCCCTAAAATGAATTTTTAATGTACCTCATGTCACTTGTGCCTAAAATGAAACAAAGATATAAAACAAAAATAGAAAAATATTACTTTACCTCTAACATGCACTTTTATCTAGTGCAATTTTCCTGCTTTAGTGTCTTTTATGAGAACAGCATGCAGTCCTGGTCCTCCTCTTGTGATCTTTGTCACTGGAGAGTGAACAGATGGAGTTCTCGGCTGGAACAGAGAAGCGCTCTATGCAGCGGTATATTTCCCCATATCTCAGATTAGCATCAGTGAAATAAAATAAGGTTTTCTAGTACAAGGAGTCCTTTACTTACAACAGTTTGCCTAGTGACCTTTCAAAGTTACAATGGCACTGACAAAAGCAACCTATGATCGTTTTTCACACTTATGACCATTGCAGCACCCCCAGGGTCAGATGATAAAATTCAGACACTTGGCATCTGACTCATATTTAGGATAGTTGCGGCATCTATGGTGGCCTTTTGTGGCCTTCTGACAAGCAGTCGATGGAGAAGTCAGATTCACTTGGCAAGTGTGTTACAACTTAACAATTGCAGTGGTTCTCTTAACAAGTATGGCAAGAAAGGTGGTGAAATGGGGCAAAATTTGTGGAAGCGTCTTGCTTAGTAACAGAAATTTTGGGCTCGATTGTGGTTGCAAGTCGAGGACCCTCCTGTACTTCTGAGATCCGCTCATGTGCCTGGAAGCCGGCTTCTCTATAGGTGGAACATTGTTTCCCTGTACAGTTCACTTGCGCAACTGATGGAAAATGTGTCCTGCAAGAGAACTGTTGGGTTTCACAGAGATGGAAGACTTGCAGTACTGTCGTCCTGGGATCGGAAGCAGGGAAAACAACAAAACTGGAAGGTGGCAAACTCACAAGCATTGATTGATCGTGTGCTACTGTACGAAGTCAATGTCAATTCTTAGCAGCCACATAAAGCCAGGTTCAAATTGTCTTACTTCAGACACGTTTTGTAAAAACCTGTCTCCCTGGGAGATGTCATTAATGCTAGGAAAGGTGGAAGGAATGGGAAGAGGACACCCAGCAGTAAGGTGCATGGTCTCAGCTGCAGGGGTGATGTCACCATTGGAAGAGCTAAAGAAGCAAGTTGAGGACAGATCCACCTGGAGGAAAATCTATGTGGTCTCTAAGAGCTGGTAAGCTCATGACTATTTGCCACCATAAAATGGGAGACTGGCATATTGTGAGTGAAAACAGATTACTATGTTTAGTTCAGAAGATAAAAAGTAACAAGAACATGCTTATCATATGGTATGATATTAATTAGCATCTTAATTATTTCTTTTAGCCTGTGCAAGCAATGTAAGTTTCATAGGAGGATTAATATTTTGAACTGAATAAGGATTCAAGTAAAAATGAACAAATTGCTAAAATACTGTCTGTTTTACAGTCTATATTAATATGAATGCCAAGCATTTTTTTCTACAGATTTTAAAAATATGTTCATAATATCTTATGACATAAAGAGGCTATATTATGCATCTTAGCTGTGAATACTGATGTTAATCTTGCTTAGGAACCAGCTATTTTTAAAGAAGTTGTCTGTGGATGCACTGAATAAATGTTCCTTGTTGCAAGCTTTAAAAATGCAACTTCCTCCTGATGTAATTTTTTATGAAATGTACTGAGTCTTTTGGCTGGCATCCTTTTATCATGTATTTATGTTTTGCTTTGTTGCATTCTGTTGGCATTTTTATTTGTACATCCTTAGATTTTATCTCATGCTTTTGGTGAGTACTTATTGTGAAGCTTAGCAGCAGAGAGACATTAGGGACACCCGACCAATCCAGCCCAGACAGTATGAGCTAACTGAAGCTACTGAAGCACAAACTACAAAATGAATGTGCATGTCAAAATAATAATTTCCATCTTGAAAACGTAAGTTCAGGAAGACATGGAAGGGTGACAACTCAGTCTGACAAAGTCAGAAGTAAATGGGTGGTAATTTGAATGCAATAACAAGGGAGAGATGTCAACACTTCCTCCTGCTTTAAAGTGATAGGCCCTTGGTGTATTTGAGTGTTTCTCAACCAGGCTGACTTGGGGAATTCTGAGAGCTGAAATCCATACATCTTCCAGTTAACAAGGTTGAGAAATACTGGCATATTGTGTTATATCAGCAGGAGAAAGAAGCATAAACACTGACTTTCACTGTGCCCATTTGCATTTTGGTTTTTGCAGTTGTCAATATTTTTCTTTCCTTTTTTCTCATGTTTGCAGTAAACAGAGCTTATTGGTACATTTGACTTTGAATCACTGCCCATAAAACATCTCATTTTGGTACTGGTTGGTACTTCCTTTGGGAGAGAAAAAGAAAGATTCTTCTCATTTCCTAATTATGGAAAAGAAATGTTTAAAGGTGTTGGCAAACAGTTCCTACTTTTTACTGTTAAGTGACTGTACTAGTGATTTTTTTGAAGAAAAATTTAGAATCTGTGCTGTCACAAATGTATTTGATTAAGTGGACAGCCTTATCTCATGTCCTTTTGGATCCAAGACCACTAGACTGATTATAACCTGACACCTGGCATAAGGATAATATACTGTAGTGTAAGTGGTTTAATGAACACCCTTATTTGTGTCTTTCTGACAACACAACTGTAGCTCATGATTGAGGCTCGGAGCAGGGGAACATTAAGGTAAGGAGTTGTTGGCAGGAAGTAGAATGATGTCCACAGACAGAAATGAGGCTGGAGACTATGAAATAGGGTTAAATAGGATAGCTGAGTTAAAAATTTTCAGTTTTGGAATTAAATAACGGATGAAAGGACATATTGGCCAAAACAGCGTTTAGACAGATGGATTAGGAGGCAAGGACCTGAAAGTTGAGAAATGTCCGTCTCCCAGCCCAAATAAAATAGTTTTAAGGGAATATTGCTGCTTTTCTAATTGTAATTCTTTCTTGTCACAGAGAATGCTGCAGGCAAGTAAAGTCTCTTTTTTTAGATTAGGGGTGGGGAACTATGGCCCTTTTATGGCCTGTGGACGGCTGACTTAGGAATTCTGGGAGTTGAAGTCCACAAGTCATAAAGGGGCCATAATTCCCCACTTCTGTTTTAGATGGTGTGGACATTTTTCAGGATGACCCTGGGATGGGATCTCACTGAACCAGGCTTGGAAATCTGGCCTGGACAAGAGAAATGAGATTTGCATTTTGTATTAAGGTACCAGCCTTCTCAGGATCATAATAAAGGACTCATTCTGTAGCGTGTTGTATCTTTATTAAATTATAGTCAGCCACATTTCAGCAACTCTTCAAGGTCACCAAAGATAAAACATAACAAGATCACAGAAAGCACCAATAGTATAAGTATAGTAACGAATATGAATGTAGACATTACCCCATTTCTGGGAATGGAGAAGTTCCAGAAGTCCCCAAATTTCCATGTTAGTGGATTAGTCACAGGATATTTATATTTCTTCAGTAATTTACACTGGTTGATTTACATGTCAAACATGTCACAACAGCTGAGGCTAGTGAATTTGTCAGAGCTCAAAACGCTAAGCAAAAGCCAATCTAGTCAGTATCTGGATGAAAAGCCAGGAGGAGTCCAGGACTGAAGGCTAGATAGAGCAGTTGAAAGAAACTTCTCTAGAAGAAACTATGACAAAATAAATCCATGCTTTGAAAGAAAATTATAGGTGGTCATCAGATGTGGGCTTCAACTGAAGAGAACCTTTATTTTATGGCACTGTTTCTCAACCTTGGCTACATTAAGATGCATGGAATTCAACTCCCAGAATTCCCTAACCATGCTGCCTGGGGGATTCTGGGACATGAAGTCCATACATTTTATTGTTACCATGGTTGAGAAACATTGCTTTACATACTAAGTAATCTACTGCAACATTAATAGTCTAGTAGATTCTTGTACCAATTTAATTTGATTTAACCTCTTTTTAAAAAAGAAAACTAGATATAAAAAGGAAGAATTCTAAATCTAGGTTCAGGAAACAGGTTTTGTAGGATTTAAGAGTTCAAAAGTTGGCATTGACTGGACTTCTCTGTGTGTCAGCTCCAGCTGACAAGATCCCAGTGAGGCAATTTACTTGCTCTCCAACTGCTCCTTTGAGATCTGGATTGAAAAGCCAGATAAGAACCACTAAGTTGACTTCAAGTGGGGTTTCATGAAATACTTTTGCAATTTGAAAGACAAACTGCCAATGGAGGTTCTTCAGAGGAGCACGTATCAACCATGTCTTGGTGGTGTAAATCCAAAGGCACTGACTGACTGACTTACCACAAGGAGGAGGTGTTTTTATGAATCTGTTAGAGAATTCAGGATTTATTCTGAATTGTACTGTTTGTCTACCTGCTCTTTGTCTAAGAAATTGCAAATCTTGGGTCCCTTTCTTCTGTTCTTCTTCCCACATCCACAGAACCCATGCTCTGACTTTTATCTGGTTGGATGTACAGTAGTTAGCTAGGTAAAGGCTTTGCCTATCCTACCCATATTTCCTGTAGATATATGCTTGTTAATCACAAAACCTGCTTCCCTAATCCTTGTTCAGATTGGATTCCCATTCTCAGGAACACATACAGTACTTCAACAAAGCCAACAGAAGGAACCTCAAATTACTCCTGTTTCCCCCCCTCAGTATAGTTTAAAAACTTCAGTTGTATCTTCTGTCCCTGTGACCCTGAATTTGTCTTGTCATCAAGAGAGGGGGACACAGCCCTGTCCTCCTCTCTTCCACACTGCTAAAATATTCTTCTACAAGTTGCTGTGGTCCTGCTACAATCCCACGGTGGGTCAACTTCCTTTCATTTTATTTTTCAAGGGCATGTTCACATTACTGTACCAGATTTGATTGGATTACCGGATGTAACCTGAGATGAGAAAGGTGGCTGTACTTTTGGAGGGAAAGAGGCTATTTAATAAGTCTCAAATTATTTATCTCTTTTTGTTAACCTGTCACAAATTGCCCAGGTGAGGACACAATTGTTCTCACAAGAGTCAGAACAATATACCATAATATGATCAAAATGTCATATAGCCACTGCAAAGGCTGGGTTTTTGGTGTTGTTGGTATTATTTTCAGAACATGTTTTCCTGAATATGAAAAGGTTCATGGAATTTTTTACACCCTTCTCACCTTTTAAATTATAGTAAGAATATTCAAATCAGCCTTATCCATGTCCGTTTTAGAATCAAAAGATCCATCATTGTGTTTGGCAACAGAGGATCAGTTGCAAAAGGGGATTTTCACCATCATAATGAGGTTGGTTGTTGGGGTGTAAACAATATCTACCGTAGGTGCAGGTTAACTTGCTTTCACAAGACATAAAATTCCTCATGGCTGCATAGAAAAGTCAGGAAAAAGCAAGCAAAATCCAATGGTTTTGGTATAGTTGCCTCTAGATAGAATTCATATCTAAAAGCAAAAACAATAAAATATATTATTTTACTAACCAGAACTTCAGAGAAGTTTTTCCTTAAATATTCACTTCTAGCCGTGATTACAGTTATAGAGTTCTGATACTCGGAATTCCATAGTGAGTCTCTTAAATCTCCTTGTCTGATTCTTTTTGCTGTTGGCCCATCTCAGTCTTGGAAAAAATTGGACTTGAGTTACGGGATGCCAGGATTCAGTTTGCAGTATTGGTTATTATAATAATCTGCTTGTGAAGACACTTATGGGCAGGATATGTGCTCGCCTGAACCCAGCATACCTCAGAGATTGAACAATTAAAACTGTGAAAGAGGAAGGAGGATGTGAATACGCAAGATGATCTGAACATGGGTATCCCTAGTATAGATGGGTATACCAACATCTCAGAATGAACTTCCATTCTGAATAGGCTTCCTTATTGGGTCTCCTTAATGCTTCCTTAGGATACTGTTGCATAGACACAGGATTCGGGGGCTGTTGGTCTGATTTTCAGTGAACTGTGGTTTATTTCAGCATAAGAAACTTCATCAGGTGTTTCCTCTATGGGAAAGTTTAAGAACTGCAGAGGAGAAAAGAAAGAAACGGAGAGTGCAGTGTTTCTGCTAATGTTTCAATAGAAGCCTTTAAGTATACTCTAAAAAACATTAAGTGTGGCCTCTCCTGAACAGCTAACTAATGCTGGGGTATCCATACTTAACCAAGAGCCAATTAGGTCTAGTGGTTAAGGCACTGGACTAGAAAGCAAGAGACTCTGAGTTCAAGTCCCATCTGGCCATGAAAGCCAGCTGGGTGACCTTGGGCCAGACACTCCCTCTCAGACCAGACACCCTTATGTTCTTTGGTGTCCCCACATGCCAAAAGAGGTGGTTTTATGTTATGATATCATGTCACACGTTTTGTCACTTGCCTTCATGTTCTTCCAATAGAAACCTATGGCTGGCTTGGCTATTCAAAGTAAGCAACAATTTAAAATATTATGAATCAACAACATTCATTCAATATTCATTGACAGCCTGTTTGGTATGGTAGTTGGGATGCTGGTGTATAGATGCATGTATGTGTGTGTATGTGTGTAATTATGTATAATTATACTCACACACATACACACACATATACACACATATAATCTCCTTCAAGAGCTTTACTGATGGCTAATTTTCTCAAAATGCTACATGAGGACTCTTGATCACATGGTTTCTCCCAGTCATCCTCCTAATTATATGATCTGGAGTTATACAGGAACTCATTTTGATTTCATCTTACAAAGGACAGTGTAGAAAGCAGAAGTGGCCACATGCTTTGTTCTGAGTTAGCAAATTTAGTTGCACATTCTCATCACTAGGCAGAATTTTACCCCCCCCCCCAATAATGAATGCTTAAAAAAAACCTTCCAGGGCTGAGCTCATTAGAACTTTAGCAGATTAATCATGTACCTTGAGGTGGCTTGAATATTGAAAACCATTATTTGGTGATGTGTTGGAGAAGCAGATTTGGAAATTAAGTATGTCTTTCAGTAGCCATTTTTGGCCCTGTGATTGATTAAATGCCATCAACTCTTAGTGACCACATGGTGCACCATCACTGCTGCAGTTAAGTCCATCCAAAGTGCTGATAGAGATCCTTTTTTCTTTCCTTCCACTTTTCCCAGGATTTCTCAGTAAGGTTGGGTTTTTGCATAATATGTTCCAAACATGACAGTTTGAACATGATTATTTTGTGATTTAAGGCTCTGGATTGATTTATTCTATGATCCTTTTGTTTTTTTGTTTTTTGGGGGGGCTGTCTTTGATATCTTCAAGAGACTTCTTCAACTCCAACTTTTGACCAAAGTTGTTGTTGTTGTTAATTGCGAAGTCATGTCAGACCCATCACGACCCCATGGACAATGTTCCTCCAGGTCTTCCTGTCCTCTACCATCTTCTGGAGTCCATTTAAGTTCACGCCTACTGCTTCAGTGACTACTGCTGGAGTCTAGCTTGTAGGATTTTAAGCATAACTTTACTAGCATGTGAAATGAGTGTAATGGTGCGATAGTTTGGACATTCTTTGGCATTGCCTTTCTTTGGAATTGGAATGTAAACTGACCTTTTCCCATCCTGTGGCCACTTTGAGTTTTCCAAATTTGCTGGCAAATTGAGTGTAGCACTTTTACTGCATCGTCTTTTAAGATTTTGAATAGCTCAGCTAGAATGCTGTCACCTCCACTAGCTTTGTTGTTGCTCAGATTTCCTAAGGCCCGTTTCACTTCACATTCTAGGATGTCTGGCTCGAGGTCAGTGATCACCCCATTGTGGTTATCTGGGATATTAAGCTCATTCTTGTATAGTGTTTCTGTGTAGTTTTGCCACCTCTTCTAAATCTCTTCTGCCTCTGTTAGGGCCCTGCCATTTTGGTCCTTTATCATGTCCATCTTTGCATGAAACATTCCCTTCATATCTCCAATTTTCTTGAAGAGATCTCTGGTCCTCCCTATTCTGTTGTTTTCTTCTATTTCTTTGCACTGTTCATTTAAGAAGGTATTCTTATCTCTTCTAGCTATTCTCTGGAATTCTGCATTCAATTGGGTGTATCTTTTTCTTTCTCCTTTGCCTTTCGCTTCCCTTCTTTCCTCAGCTATTTGCAAAGATTCCTCAGACAGCCATTTTGCTTTCTTGATTTTTTTTCCCTTTGGGATGGTTTTAGTTGCTACCTATTATACAATGTTGTGAATCTCTGTCCATAATTCTTCAGGTACTCTGTCTATCAGATCTAATTCCTTAAATCTATTTGTCACCTCTACTGTATATTCATCAGGAATATGATTTAGTTCATACCTGAGTGGCTTAGTGCTTTTCCCTACTTTCTTCAATTTAAGCCTAGATTTTGCAATGAGAAGCTCATGATCTGAGCCACAGTCAGCTCCTGGTCTTGTTTTTACTGACTATATAGAGAAGTGGTTCTCAACCTGTGGGTCGGGACCCCATTTGGGGTCGAACGACCATTTCACGGGGGTCACCAAACAATGCAGTCTGCCATTTCCCCCCCCTTTTCCTTAGCTGTGCTACTCCCTTTTATTCTATTGGTTTTTGAAAGCCAATAGAATAGACTCTCTTGACTAGAGTCTAATTCTACTGGCTTTCAAAAGCCAATAGGAATTGTCCAGGCTGTCTCTGCCCTGCTGAGCCCACCAAAAGTCCCATTCTGCAAACGGTACTGCACCAGTTGAGTAGTCCTCGACTTACGACTGGTTGAGTAGTCCTCGACTTACGACCGGTTGGGGGTCGTGGCATTAAAAAGGTTGAGAACCACTGATATAGAGCTTCTCCATCTTTGGCTGCAGAGCACATAGTCAATCTGATTTCTGTGTTGACCGTCTGGTGATGTCCATGTGTAGAGCCGTCTCTTGGGTTGTTGGAAAAGAGTGTGTGTTATGACCATCGTATTCTCTTGACAAAATTCTATCAGCCTGTGCCCTGCTTCATTTTATACCCCAAGGCCAAACTTGCCTGTTATTCTGGTTATCTTTTGGCTTCCTACTTTAGCATTTCAATCTCCCATGATGATAAGAACATCATTTTTTGGTGTTAATTCTATAAAGTGCTGTAGGGCTTCATAGAACCAGTCAATTTCATCCTCTTCAGCACCAGTGGTTGGGGCATAGATTTGGACTACTGTGATATTGAATAGTTTGCCTTGGATTCGAACTGAGATCATTCTGTCATTTTGAGGATTGTATCCCAGTATTGTTTTCCTATTCTTTTATTGACTATGAAGACTACTCCATTTCTTCTGAGGGATTCTTGCCAGCAGTAGTATACCTGATGGTCATCTGAGTTAAATTTACCAATTCCTGTCCATTTTAGTTCGCTGATTCCGAAGATGTCGATGTTCAGTCTTGTCATCTCTTGTTTGACTACGTCTAACTTGTCTTGATTCATGGATCTTACATTCCAGGTTCCTATGGAGAAAAGATCTTTACAGCATCGGACTTTCCTTTCACCACCAGATATATCCACAGCTGAGCGTCCTTTCAGCTTTGGCCCAGCCACTTCATTCTTTCTGGTGCTACTAGTACTAGCCCTCTGCTCTTCCCCAGTAGCCTACTGGATACCTTCCGACTTGAGGGGCTCATCTTCCAGTGTCATATTTTTTTGCCTTTTAGTGCTGTCCATGGGGTTTTCATGGCAAAGATACTGGAGTGGTTTGCCATTTCCTTCTCCAGTGGATCACATTTTGTCAGAACTCTCTGCTATGACCTGTTCGTCTTGGGTGGCCCTGCACGGCATAACTCATAGCTTCATTGAATTACGCAAGCCCCTTCGCCACGACAAGGCAGTAATCCATAAAGGGGACCAAAGTTAAGAAGCATAAATACCCTTCCTATTTCTTCAAAGTCCAAAATTTACTTCCATAGAATATCAAAGAAAAACATTGCCTGCACAATACTAGATACATCAAGGACCAGGATAACCTTTTTCTAAGGCTTTCGTTGCTCCCCTACCAAGTGCTGGTCTGTGGGATATTTCTTGACCGCTGGTTCCTTTATTGCTAATAGTTGATTCTAAAAGGCAGAAGCTATCCACCACTTCAATATATTTCTTGCAAATCTTAAATCATTTTTTTTCATTGTACTCCTTGCCTTTCATTATTACAGCTTGCAGATCATTTGCATTCTCAGTTACCAGAAATAAGGTTGCCAGCATAACACAGGTTATTGATGTTTCTTCTTCTAGTTTTAAAAACATCTTCTTCCAATCCAACCTCCTTCAATGTTTATTCAGCACATAGGTTTAATAAATAAGGAGATGCTATACAGCCTTGTCTCATTCCTTTGCTGACATTCAAACTTACCTCGAAACTTGCACACTGCTTGTGATCAGTTAATACAGGAGTCCCCAACCCCTGGGCCATAGTCCACAACTGGGCCGTGAGCTGGCGCACAAACATGCGTGTGCAGCTTGGCTTGCACGAGCGGCGAGCCGACACACATATGCAGCTGAGCTTACAGTTGAGCTGCATGTACATGTGTGTACATGCCAGCCCGCTGCTCATGCAGCTTGGTTCCCTTCTCCCCGCCCCCAGCTGGGCCGTCCAACTGCAAAGGTTGGGGACTGCTGATTTAGGAGACCCAGTAAAAATATTGGCCTAATATGAAATGCGAAGGTTTTCTTAAGGCCAAGATACTTTCCTTTGCCTTTTGTGAACCCTCATTTTAAAAATGAAAATTAGCCCTGCCATATTGATTTACGACTGATACATTGACATGTTGACAGTTACAGGACTAGTGTGCCGATAATGTTTCTTACCGTCTTCGGTAGTGCATTGCTTTCTTTGGTAACAGCGTCTGTAAGTTAAAGAGATCTTGTGAAAAATCCTTCTTTGGCCTATTTTCAATGCTGGCTTATTTTCTACACCCAAGCTCCTGGTCTTAACTGTTTTGGCTGCATATATTCTGTATTAGGAGAATTCTGCAATCAAGCAGGTACATTTTACATTGGTTCCTGTACTCCACAGAAATGCAGTGAATTTTCCACACCATTCTGTTCCCAACCTTTTATACCTCCTGCAACCTGAAAAGTGGACCAAACTCACATTACAGGCAATTCAGTATCAAAATATAGATAGTTCATTTAGTGATGATTCAAAGTTATAATGGCACTTAAAAAAGGGACTATGACCATTGTGCCCACTTAATGGCCACTGTAGCATCCCCATGGTCACGTGATCAAAATTCAGATGCTGGGCAACTGGCATGTATTTATGACGGTTGCAGTGTCCCAGAGTCACATGATCCCCTTTTGCGACCTTCTGAGAAGCAGTCAATGGGGAAGCCAAATTCATTTAACAACCGTCTTACTATCTTAACAACTGCAGTGATTTAGTTAACAGCTGTGACAAGAAAGATCGTAAAATGGGACAAAACTCACTTAACAAATTTTAGGCTTAATTGTGACTAAGTTCAGGACCACCTGTACTGATTCACCCAAAAATGTTCAGTAAGGGGGTTCCTTAGATTTTCTTTTACAGCGATTTAAAGTATTTGTAATATCTATAGACTAATCCAAGCTATAACAGCAAACAATAGCTGCAAAATACAATAATTAGATGATAATAGCAATCATGTTAAACTACCCGGGATGGTTACCTGCACAAACTTCCTTCCCAAATCAAGTCAGTTTGGAGCCACTTCTACTTCTCATCCCAAGCTTTTCCAAAGAGGCCAAATGGAACTGTCCATATGCGTTCTGCAACCTATTTCCTTGCTGTTATAAGGACTAGAATTTTATTTCATTTTTAAATTTGTCTTTCTCACACAAACTGCACCTTTGTATAGGTAGTCCTTGACTTACAACAGTTCATTTAGTGACTGTTTAAAGTTATAATGGCACTGAAAAAAGTGACATGACCCTTTTTCACATTTAGGACCATTGCAGCCTCCCCAGGGTCATGTGATCAAAATTTGGATGCTTGGAGACTTCCGGTGGCGTAGTCTCAGCAGTGCGGGGGAAGGTGAACGGTCTCCGTTCCCAGAACCCGATTATTTCTCGTTTTGGGGACCTTTCAGAGCGTGAAGAGCCTGGAGGGCTTAGCGGACTAGAGGGAAAGTCCAGAGTGCAGCGAAGTGAAAGGCGATCACTGGCTGCAAAGAAGGACACCCCTATCAAACTAACGTGAAAGTGTCTGCCATCGCGCTATGGCGGACCCGAGGCTGCGACGATCCAGAGAGCACAGGGAAGAGAAGATCTTTACAGCAGATTGTGACATTGGCGGATTATCCTGAAAACTGCAAGGCTGATGTTCGTTTGGAAAAGTGAGTCCTGACTTTTTGGCTAAAAGGGATCTCCAGCAGGGGAGCGGGCGGCGACTCGGCGGAAGGAGCAGTGATTCAGCAGAATTTGTTCAAACGCTAAAGTGGCAAAGGGGGAAGGGCAAAAGTGTTTGAGCTAGCGGTGTGGTGGTGAGACAGGCAGACATTTGGTCAAAATCTGAAGGAAAGGAGAAAGCAAAGAAGGAGAGAGATCAGGTATACAAGAGCGACAGGAAAAGAAAGGAGAAGAAGAGAAGCGATGAGAGCAGACGATGGCAAACCATGATGGCAAGATTGGTTTGAGTGGACAAAAAACATAGGACACAATATAGAATTAGAAGATTGGGAAAGAATTTAGAACAAAAACTACACCGTAACTAAATCTGATGCATATAAGAAAAATCAGTATAAAATGCTATACTGCTGGCACTTAGCCCCAGCAAGCCTGGCGAAAATGTACCCGAATCAAAGCCCAAAATGTTGGAAATGTAACCATCATCAAGGTATCTTCTTTCATACTTGGTGGCCATGTCCCGAAGCGAAAAAATACTGGACTAAGATACAAGGGTGGCTACACGAGCTAACAAAATGCCAAATAGAACTAAACCCAGAAACATTTCTCCTGGGAATTCTTAAAAAGAAATTTGATAGGGAAATAAGATATTTGATTCTACACATATTAACTGTGGCAAGAATTATGTTTGCGCAATACTGGAAAGAACGCAATATATCACCAGAGGGACTGATCATTCAGAAGATATATGAATGTGCCGAAATGGATAAACTCACTTTAGAACTAAAAGAAAAAGATGATTCGGAATTTTATGCGGTTTAGGAAAAATGGTATACATGGATAGATAATAGAAACAAAAATTGGAAATACACATAAGGTTACTGTGAGTTAGATATTGAATGTATATAGTGTATATATTGTATAGAATGTTGATCCGAAGTATATAAAAATGACACAGTCTGCTGAATATGTACTAGAGTTGTATAAAGGAAAATAGTAATAAAAACTATTTAAAAAAATGTGGATGCTTGGCAACTGGTTCATACTTATGACAGGTGCAGCATCCTGGGGTCATGTGAACAGCTTTTGCAAGCTTAAGACAAGCAAAGTCAATGGGGAAGCCAGATTTACTTAACAACCATATACTAACTTAACAGTTGCAGAGATTCACTTAACAACAGTGGCAAGAAAGGTCATAAACTGGGGCAAAATTCACTTAACAAATGTTTCATTTAACAATAGAAATTTGGGGCTCAGTTGTAGTCATAAATTGAGGACTACCTGTACTATGAATAGGTTTTTAATCAAATGAGACTCTTAAGCAACCAGAGAAGTGTAGCCTTAATCTCAACTGCTGTAAAGCAGTCCATATCCAAGGGAGTCCTTGGTGCTCCTTTTGCTGGCACTGATGATGTTACCTAGTCTGAATAATGAAACGTCTGCCAGAAAACAACCAAGTTCATTTCAAACTTAAGCGACAAATATTCACCTCTACCAACCCACCTTGCTTACCTTTTCTTCTTCTTTTGTATAAAATGAGGATAAGTACCAATAGGAGGACAGCCAGAAGGAAAAGGAATACAGCAGTGCTTGTCCATAGAGTTATTAAGGATGCAGCTGTAAAGCCATAGACATCTTGATTAGAAGGCTAATAATGCTATCTAAGAAATGCATAGTTGTCAATGAATGACTACCTATTGTGATCTTTTTACCAGTCCAGCCCACCCGTTGGTTCATCTTCTCAACTTAACAGCCCCTTAAAGATTCCAGGCAGATAGCAAGGAAAACAAAGATGGCCTTTTCCAGTTTATTCATTTTATTTAAATCCTGCCTTTATTTTGTACAATTCAAGGCAGAGTACACATTGCTCTCTCTTTCCATTTTCCCATAAGAACAATCCTAAGAAGTGGGTTGGGTTAAGACAGATGGACTGGTGCAAAGTTACCTAGTTGGCTTCTGTAGCTAAAGAACTAGAACTCATAACCAGTTTAGTTTCTAATCCACTATCTTAACCACTACAACAAAATAGCATTTGAACTTCTCCACTCATCAGCTCATTACCATCAATCATCTACTGGGAAGAATACTAGAACTGCCTGTTGGTTTTGAAATCCATTTTATTCTACTTTACAGACAATGTGACTTTTAACAATTTATACAAGTTGCACAGCTGTGTTTTTCTTAATGTGGGGTTGAATTGTGGAGTCCTAGGTGCTCTCTGAGTTTGGTTGTTTGATTCAAGATAAGAAGGATTATGAATTCTATTCTATTCTATTCTATTCTATTCTATTCTATTCTATTCTATTCTATTCTATTCTATTCTATTCTATTCTATTCTATTCCAGAACACATCCTCTCCAGCAGCCAACACTGAGATAAGCAGGGATTAACCCCAGACAAACCATCAAGCAAAGCAGAAAACAATACTCTAATTAAAAAAAAAACTATTAAGAAGAAAATCACCCACCCACCAAAATAGGCAGGGCAAGCTACTGAAGCAATCCTTACATTCACTCATGCTGATGATGTTACCTATAGAAGTTGGGTAATGTGACATCTAAACAACCAGCCTCAGAGAAGGACTCCGAGGACTCCATTTATGTTTCTTTCTGCATTATTTTTCAACTAGAAAAACTTTTTCTGCTCTTGGCACTCTTTCATGCCTGGAGGTCCATCTGAAGCTGGTCATGTGATCAACTTCAGGGGTCAGGTAGAGCCTGCAGCTAAAGCTATTGCAGGTCCTACTGTGACCAAATCCCTTCTCCTTCACCCTCCCTGCAAAAGGGAATACACACCTCAATCTCTACCACATTTTCTTGAGAGCATTTTCTTGTCATTGGTAAAATAATTTGAACAGGTGCTGTCAAGGGATAACTCCTCCTCCTCCTCCTCCTCCTCCTCCTCCTCCTGCTCCACCACCACCACCACCACCACCACCACTATCATTAACTAAACCTTTTCATTTTAGGTTAACCCAAGCAATCGTTGCAAGCTGTGCACTATTTCATTAATAGCCTATAATATGTACAATTTTTATGATCTGTTATAATCTGGTGATGGAATAACTCAGCAATGCAGATAAGCCTCTGGTCTTTGTCTACTCTTTCTTCTGCGTTTCTAGCTCTTTTTCAGTCTCTTATGTTTATTAATTTAATTTCCATTAGCCTAATAAAAAAAGTAGAAAGTCTAGCTGTCAGCCTATATGTCGATATTTCTGTCTCTCTACCTCTGCTTGATGGCACCCACAAAACATTTCAAAAGTCCCAAGGTAGACACAGGGCCACCTACTCCTGCTCATATTCAGATGTGTGTGACCTCCGTGTTGTGCAGACAGTGTGTCCGATATCCCATTGCTAAGAGATCTGTTCAAGGTCTTCCAGAAATCCAGTCTGTCTCTGATTCACTGACAGGGCAAATGGGGAAAATGAAATATGCTATGTTGACATCCTACCTTTCCAAGGCCTCTCCAGTGGATCACTTGGCACTGACCAGACAAAGGAGCTGCTTTTGCGATGGTACTGGCAGGTATAATTTTGTGCCTCTTCCGACCTCATCCAGTGGAGAGAAAAATTCACCGCCTTTTCCCCTGACTCTGCAGCCTTGTAATCTATCTGCTGCCTTGATTTCAGAAGAGCAAAAATCAGATCTGGTTCTGTCCCCTCACACCGTATGGAGATGTTTGCTTCTGCAGCATCTTGTTCTACATTTATAATCTGCATGGAAGGCTTGGTCAGGCTGGGATCTAGGAGGGGGAACGATTCAGTGGAACCTCAGAGACCCTTGTAGATCAGTATCTCCACTTTCATTCAACCACAAATAACATTTCTCCCTTTTCACTCTTTTGGCAATGAAAGGATCCTCCTCTCCATTCTCACATACATATTTTTTTTTCCAAATATTTATAAGAAAGCCTATTTATTTCTTCCCCACTCTGTTATTCTAGCCAGGTGCCCAAATATGCCTTATATTACATTCTGTGTCTTCAAAGTGATATGCTAAACAATTGAGCTTATAGAGAAGAATGGCATCTGTAAAAGCAAGAAGATGTTAAAATGAAGCTATAGATGCTCAGTGCACCTTCTTCTATCAGACAATCAAAGTAGGGTTAAGGCTAGAGCAGCAGTGGGCAATTAATTTTCCTGGAGGGCCATGTGAAAAACTGGGACTGTTGTGGAGGGCTGAACCAATAGGGCTGTGAAGGTGTATAGGCACACATGCGTGAACATAAACTCACTTTTTATGACTCTGTAATATTACATCCTTTCCTGGACCAACAATCCCTATTCATGGTCACTCATGCCCTAATCCAGTGGTTCTCAACCTGTGGGTCGGGACCCCATTTGGGGTCGAACGACCATTTCACGGGGGTCGCCAAACAAGGCTGTCCGCCATTTTTCCCCCCTTTTCTTTGGCCAAGCCCCTGGCACCCGGTGATGTATAAGTGGTTGGGGGTCACCACAACATGGGGAACTGTATTATGGGGTCGCGGCATTAGAAAGGTTGAGAACCACTGCCCTAATCACCTCCCGTCTTGACTATTGCAATGGACTCTACGTGGGGCTGCCCTTGGAAGAATCTGGAAGCTCCAGTTGGTGCAAAATGCAGCGTCCTCAGTGTGCACCTGTATTACCTCTCCTGTGGGAGCTGAATTGATTGCCAATTTGCTTCCGGGTGCAATTCAAGGTGATGGTTGTCACCTTAAAGCCCTTCACGACTTGGGATCAAGTTATCTGAGGGACTGTCTCTTGCCAGTCACATCTACCTGACCAACTAGAGTGGCCTTCACAATAAAAGCCATGCAGTTGTATTGTATGCAGGGCATACATTTACATTTAATTTCTAATTTCCAATTGGCCTCATGTAGGCTGGACAGAGACAGCTAAAGGGCCGGATGTGGCGTAGGATGACACATACATATCCCTGCCACTCCAACTGAATTTTTGTGCATCTAATAACCTAATTACGACCATGATCCATGAATGCATGTTTGACCCAATTAAAGTGGCTTGAGCTGACACTACATGCTAAGAATACAAATATTAAAAATAATCAAGCTTCATTCATTGAGTTAAAACTTTTTGCGTAAACTCAACTATCCAATCACAGCATTTCCAAGAAGGACTGGGAGATAATTAAGATGATTAATTAGAAAAGAAGCTTTATATTGATGTTGTGGTTATTTGTAGAAATACTAGAAAAATGTTTATATTTAATATCTATCAAAATATCAAGAAATGTATTAATTTAAGGTTGGCAAAAGAGAACATCGTTGAAAGAAGAAAAAAATCAAGGAAAGCTGCTATGTAGAATAGATTATGGAATTATAGAAATTAATTGTTATTGATTGTTTTTAAATATAAATCCAGACAATACACTGTTTACCAAATATTAAGGTGACTATGTTAAAAATAATAAAATATATTTTAAAAAAGAAATAAATTTGCAAAGAATCCAAGCTCAGGGAAGCACCAAGGACTCTATTTATGTCTCTTTCTCCACATATGTGGCTTAGCAGACAAATGTCCCAAAGATGCTTTTTCACAAGGCAACTGGACTTTCTTGTTTTTCTTTGAAGACGTTTCGCTTCTCATCCATCTTCAGTTCTGATTGGATGGTGGGGAATGGAATGATTTATATTCCTTGCAGACAGCTGGTCATTTGCCTTCTTTTAGAGAGACGTTGAGGCCACCTGGAGGTTTATCTGTGTTGCATGGCACAACATGGGAGAACAAACACATCAGGACAAGATTCAACCGTCCATCTGCATCTAAAAGACAAGGACCATTCTTTCGAAGAGAGCAAAGTCCACATTTTGGATACAGAGGACTGCTGGTTTGAAAGAGGGGTCAAAGAGGCCATCTGTGTCAAAACTGAACAGCCCTCTCTCCACAGAGGGGGAGGGATCTGACATCATCTACCTCCAGTCTACAACACAGTCTTTTCAGCAGTTCCAAGAAGGCTCTGCACCTGATGAAAGTTAGCCCAGAAGGAAATATTAAAAAGGGCAGAAAAATATATTTTTCCTCAAAAGGACTTTTTAAAACCAAACCTGGCCCCAAATCTATCTCTCTGCCCCAAGCAAGACTTTATCCCTAAACAAATGCAGATGTAAAACCATCAGAAAGTTGGAGCCAGAGCAATCAAGAAGACAAAAGAGAAGATCTGCATACCCCACCCAAACTCTAGGAGTCAACCCCATCACCTGGGAAGCAGGATATGATAATAGAATTAAACCACAGATATCAAGGCCTAGACAAACACTCAGAAACAGCCTCAAGGTTCATGCCACAGGAACAGGAAACTATTCCAAACAAGGCTAGAGGGGGTATAAAAGCCTACTGCCCCATGTGCTCACTCTTCTTCGCCCTTCCTCCTCTGTTCCTCTCTGTTCTTCTCTCCTCTGCACTTTCCTGAAGAACCATCTTTCTGCGATAAACTGTAACCTTCTTCCCAAAGCAGTCACCATGTTTGCTTATTTATTCCCGGCTTGGATGAACCAGGATGAAGACTTTACTTCTAACAATTTGGCACCCCGAGATGGGACTCCAAGCTAACCTCTCCAATGGACTGAGACTGGTAAGCCCCATCTTGCCGGCAGCAGACCCCCTTGTGTCTGTGGATGGGTTTCCCAGGCCTTGCCCATGTGGAGCTAGGGTAGTAAAGGGAGTTTTGAGAGTTTGAGCTCAAGGGCTGCTTTGGAAAGAAGATGAAGGTGAGTACCTCTAAATTTTAAGTTTAAAGCCCAGGGGAACAAAGAAAATGTGTGCATTTCTGTTTGGGTGAGTGAGAAGACTTTTTTTCCCAATCACAGTTGGATTTTGCTGCTTCTGGTCTTTCCTAGCCGCAGAAAGGATCTGTTTAATTGGCAGAACCTGGAAAGCATGGGGGTTGGCCAGAGCACAGAACCTTTTGTTAGGGAAAAGGGAGAGGCTGTGTGAAAATGAAATGGAATGAGTGAATGAAAGAATTGGATTTGGGCAACTAGCTGGTAAGGCCCTGTAAGCAAAGCAAAGTTAGGAAATTAAGCCTCAGGAAGGGAGCGGCCACTTACCTCCGAGAGCAAGTGGAGGTGCCCACGGACATTAGAGGCGTCCGTAAACAGTGGTGTGAAGCCGGCCGGTCGAAGAGTAGCCAGTACCTTCTAACGAGGAAACCAGAAGTGTCTCTGCAGACCCCTTTTTGGTCTGAAAACGTGGCAGGATCCCTCAGAGGAGCTGTCCCACGAACTCTGTGAGGGATCCAGAGTGCTCCGTGAGTCCCATTTTTACCGGACTCACAAAGAATCGTGGTGGAAGAAAGAAGTCTCAAAAGGAGGCTTTGACTGTGTAGTGCCCTTTAGCGTCAAGGGAAAATCTCGTCAAATAAGAATGGGAGATTCCAATTCAAGGGCTAAGGTAGGTTTCCCAGTTGAAAGCTTGCTCGTAGCCTGGGACAGGAATCAGCTTCCTGTCCAGGCCGGAATGGAAAAGAGGTAGGTAAAGAAACTATATGAAAAAAAAGAAAAATAGACTTCGACTGTGTTAGGAAAGAAGTCTCACAAGGAGACTTCGACTGTGTAGCGTATGAAAGAAAAATAGACTTTGCTTAGGGCCTTGCTGGGAAACCAATTTGGCTAAATAAAGGTACTTAAAAGGGAAAATAAGAAATAGTGATTCTCTCTCTCTCTCTCTATCACTCTCTCTCTTCTCTATGCAACCACGTGGTATGCTTAAAATATGTGCCTTCCCTAACTTGAGTTATCTGAAATTTATGGTGGGAATGACTAGGATGAGTAAAACTAAGACTTCTGTTCTCTTGTCTTTGTGTATATATGTTTGTCAAAGTCTGTGCGTGAGAGGTAAATGTGACTGTTAACTGTTTCAAATCCAAAGGAAAAAGAATTTTAAAGTCTGCTAGAAATTCTGCTTAAAAATAAGCCACAAAAAGGAAATACCTCACTCTGTTTGTCTGGCCAACAAACAGAGTGAAGAAAAAAAAATGTGTTTGTTTGTTTGTTTGTTTGTTTTCCTCTTTCTCTCTGTGTACGCTAAAGAATAGCCTTAAGTTACCAGGAGGGATTGTTTTAAATTTATCTGTTGGAAAAGTTTCACTTGCATTTACTGTATGTGTTTTATCTATCCTTTTCCTGAAAAATGTGTGTCTATCTACAAGAGCATTTTGAAGTTCAAGTCTGATTGTGTGGGGAAATAATTTTCTTAAGTTACTTTTCTTATCCTATCACTTACTGGTGAAACTACTTTGAAGCTTTCTGAAACATAAGCATTTCTCAATCTCTAAAATGATGTGGTCTATTTTAGAATAAATGTGCACATATTAAAATATTAGGCTTTTAAAATTATTTGGAGTTTTCAGCATTCTCAAGCTGCCTAGCATTTTTTTTCTCCTCTTCCTTTCAAGTTGCAAGTTCTTGTCCATAATATGTTGCAAATGGTCAAGTTCAAAGGTGAAACCTTTCATTTTGTTGTTCCCCATTTGTCTATGTTTAATAACTGCAGTATTAATGCCCTTTTCAAACTGCCTGCAAGCTACCCCCCTTCCAATTCTTTTCCTGCCCTTTGTTCTCCATACCTTTTGTCTGCCTCTCCTGGTAGAGTCCACCCAGAAAGCAGGGGGGGGGGGAAGACCTTGTTCTTGTATCTTTCAGCCCTGAAAACCTCTCGCAAGCCTTTGGAAGCAGAACACACAGACCCAGATGCTGCCTCCATCCATTTGAGCCATGGAATTGAGTTTTGAATCCAGCCATCCACTAAAAAGCCACCATGCAATCTGAGTGGGGAACATCTTCCCAAGTCCTACCATTTACCCAGATGCCTGTGAGAGCTGCAGAAGGAAGGTGGTGCCATGTGAAGCCTCAGAAGAGAAAATTAGACTGTGGGGGGAGGGTGGAAACTCATTGTAAACTTTTCTTTCTTGCCCCATTTGTATTGTAACAAGCCAGTCGAATGTATTAGTGGAGAGATGGCATTTAGGAATAAGTGGTAGAACAAGTACTGAACACCTTGGACTTCTATCTGGTGGGAGGGAAAACTTTTCCAGAATGTTTGTATTGCCTGTTTTGTAGAAATAGCTGCATATGCACACATACACCATTCACACCATTCAGAGTCTATCCCCTCCACCTACCTTTAGTAAAGTTCCTCAGGCTGATTTTTGCTCTATTGCACCAAAGCTTTGTGGGACCAACTTCCAACAGATTCCAAGGGGAGGGAACCAAGCCCCCTCAGGTAATTTGCAATTCATATGCCCTGACTAAGGAAGCAACAGGAAAAATCCCAAACTTCAGCCCTGAATATCTTGCACTGTTGGGCTCAGATTGGGATTCCTAGAGCTCAGTATGTGCAATTTAAAGAAAAATTTAATAGCCTGGCATATTAGACATTACAAACCTGGATGCACTGAACTAAGAGCTAACCCCTGAAAACGGGCAACCATGTACTAAGGAAAACCATGGCTGTGAAGAATTTTGGGAGGTATGCAAACCTGACTGGAAGCTAAAGGTGATATCCAACATTTGAAAATGATTGGCACAGAATATTGGATACTATAAATTTCTTTTCCACCTAACAAAATTTTGCCCTGACTTTTAGAACTTTATGGGTGCAAGCTCCCCTTTTGGGAGCCACTAAAGGGATCTTTTTCTGCTGCCTCCATTAATGTCTTATTATTATTATTATTTTGCTTAACAGTTTAAAAGCTTGCCTACCAAGTTTAAAAGCTTCCCTGACCAGATCAATTTTAATGTTGTGCCAATAAGTGTGTCATAAATTTACACACTTAAGGCACAAAGCGGGGGATTGATGAAAGTTAGCCCAGAAGGAAATATTAAAAAGGGCAGAAAAATATATTTTTCCTCAAAAGGACTTTTTAAAACCAAACCTGGCCCCAAATCTATCTCTCTGCCCCAAGCAAGACTTTAGCCCTATACAAATGCAGATGTAAAACCATCAGAAAGTTGAAGCCAGAGCAATCAAGAAGACAAAAGAGAAGATCTGCATACCCCACCCAAACTCTAGGAGTCAGCCCCATCACCTGGGAAGCAGGATATGATAATAGAATTAAACCACAGATATCAAGGCCTAGACAAACACTCAGAAACAGCCTCAAGATTCATGCCACAGGAACAGGAAACTATTCCAAACAAGGCTAGAGGGGGTATAAAAGCCTACTGCCCCATGTGCTCACTCTTCTTCGCCCTTCCTCCTCTGTTCCTCTCTGTTCTTCTCTCCTCTGCACTTTCCTGAAGAACCATCTTTCTGCGATAAACTGTAACCTTCTTCCCAAAGCAGTCACCATGTTTGCTTATTTATTCCTGGCTTGGATGAACCAGGATGAAGACTTTACTTCTAACACACCCATTTGCACCACTCAGGTGAAGACATCATCATCATCATCATCATCATCATCAAGTTGGAAGGGACCTTGGAGGTCATCAAGTCCAACCCCCTGCTCAGGCAGGAAACTGGTTGTCCAGTTTCTTCTTTCTTCTTAAAAATTTCCAGTGTTGGAACATTCACTACTTCTGGAGGCAGGTTGTTCCACTGGTTAATTGTTCTATCAGGAAGTTTCTCTTTAGTTCTAGGTTGCTTCTCTCTTTGGTTAGTTTCCATCTGTTGCTTCTTGTCCTGCCTTCAGGTGCTTTGGAAAATAGCTTGACTCCCTCTTTGTGGCAGCCCCTGAGATATTGGAACACTGCTATCATGTCCCTCCTCACCCTTCTCTTCATTAAACTAGACATACACAATTCCAGCAACTGTTCCTTATGTTTTAGCCTCCAGTCCCTTGATCATCTTTGTTGCTCTTCTCTGCACTCTTTCTAGAGTCTCAACATCTTTTTTACATCATGGTGACCAAAACTGGATGTAGTATTCCAAGTGTGGCCTTACTAGGCATTGTAAAGTGGTATTAACACTTCACGTGATCTTGATTCTATCCCTCTGTTAATGCAGCCTAGCGTTGTGTTGGCTTTTTTGGGTAGCTGCAGCACACTGCTGGCTCATATTTAAGTGATTGTCCACTGGAACTCCGAGGTCCCTCTCACAGTTACTACTATTGAGCAAGGTACCCCCTATACTATACCTATACATTTGGTTTTTCTTGACATTTAGTTGCCTAAATGTAGAGCCCTTTTTCACCATTGAATTTCATTTTGTTAGATAGCGCCCAATGTTCAAGTCTGTCCAGATAAGCCTCCAGGCAGCTTTAATGACTCAGTAAAAGAATGCAAATGACCAGCTGTCTGCAAGGAATATAAATCCTTCTATTCCCCACCATCCAGTCAGAGCTGAAGAAGCTTCTTGGATGAGAAGCAAAACGTCTTCAAAGGAAAAACAAGAAAGTCCAGTTGCCTCCTTTGGGACAACCATGACCTGGATGACTGAGAATCTCCATAAACACTTAGCAGACTAGTCTTCACACTTCCATAGTAGAAGTGATGGACACATGCACATATTACACTGGTGTTGCATCAGACGCCCCTTTCTTTTGACTCTACACAGGCTGCTTTTCACACCTATTTGTATAGTGCAAATGACATTGGCGGCAATTCTTTCTCATTCTGATTTTTCTTTCTTTTTTTTTTAACTTTGCTCATTTCAGCATCTCATCCTCTGGTTGCCTCAAATGGTTCAGGATAAATGCTCCCCAGTGTTACTTATGGTTCTTATTCGGGGACTTGGGGTTTGGAAGATAGCAGGGATAGGGGGAGAGCAAATTCCTTACCTATTACTTGCAGCTGCAGAGGATCACTTAACTTTGAATACATAAAGGGATTTTTTTTAAGCTGATAACAACAACTGTAGTTCCCAATGTCTTCCAATTTGACTCCCGAGATGGAAAACTCAGCCAAGGAACTGTTTGGTTTTGCCCTTTGGGATGTTACAAAGACTGTTGACTTATAGAGGAAATAGTTCAGATCATCTTCTGGCCCCTGGCAGTAGATCTGGACATTTGTACCAAGCATTTGCTGTCTCTTTGGTTCCAGGTAGATGGAAGGCTTGTGGGCCATGGGATCTGAAGGCAAGAAAATATCAGATAAAGAGCAAAAGCATTAGAAGCACCAAACGGTAAGCCTTAAAAATGGCAAGGACCTACAATTTCCTCCTCTTTTAGATTTAAGCAAAATCTCTAGTAAGACTCGTATAGCTGGGGAGGAATTTGCTGAATAGGAAAATAAAAACAGAGAAATAAGGATGACTAAACGAACAGCTTTCCTGAATCTGGACAAGGCTTCAAGTTCATTGTTAGCTTGAAAATAATTTTGGATTTCCTCTGAAATTTTATCTTTAACCTCAGCATTCCATAACAAACTCATCAACTCCAGTTAGACATAATTTCTCAGACTTTCACTCAACCCACTCACTCTTTCCAAGCTTTGTTTTGCCATATGTTCATTCCCTCTGTATGACCAAACCACCTATTTCTTTCATAATGGTCTCTCAATTGTGCAATCCACATCTTTTCAGTGTTCATTCATGCATGCATGCAGGGTACCTTGGGCCAATCACTGGGAGACTGTGAGTTCTAGTCCCTCCTTACCCATGAAACCAACAGGGTATCTTGGGCCAACCACCAGGAGATTGTGAGTTCTAGTCCCTCAGGTATGAAACCAAAAGGGTATCTTAGGCCAATCACAAGGAGCCTGGGAGTTCTAGTCCCTCCTTAGGCATGAAACCAACAGGGGATCTTGGGCCAATCACCATGAGACTGTGAGTTCTAGTCCCTCCTTAGGCATGAAACCAACAGGGGTTTTGGGCCAATCACAAGGAGCCTGGGAGTTCTAGTCCCTCCTTAGGCACAAAACCAACAGGGGATCTTGGGCCAATCACCGGGAGACTGTGAATCTTAGTCCCTCCTTGGGCATAAAACTAACAGGGGATCTTGGGCCAATCATTCACTCTCAGCCCCAGGAAGAAGGCAATGGAAAATCACTTCTTAAAATCTTTTCAGAAAAATTGCAGGAACTAGTCCAAGCAGTCATCTGGAGTCACAAACTTACCTGAGGGCCTTCATTCTACAGCATGAGCTGTTGCCATACAACACGGGAAGATCACACTATGATTATTACATTTGTATATTCTTAGATGTTCAAGCAAATAATAAAACATTAACTGAATTGCAGATGCATGAAGAGATGGAAGAAAAAGAAAATTCAAGTGCTAATATTATTTGTATTCTAAGTACAGAAAATGCAAAACACTGAACTCTCTTTTGTAAAGCAATTATGAAGAATAGGAATCCATTTCTTACCTGTTATATTGATATATATTTTATTACTGAACTCTGAGTATGTGTCGTAAGAGTATATTCGATAGTCACAAAAATAGATCCCTCCGTTTGATTCTAGGGCACTGAGAATAAGGGATCCAGTCCCTCGGTTCCATGCAATTGGGATTGCTAGTTGTTCTAAAGCCCCTTTTTTGAAGAAGGTAAAGAGTACATCTTGGTAATCTTCCCGTTTGCACTGGATGGTGACTTGTTTTCCTAGGTCAACCAGGCCACTGGGGATCGCTGAAATAGAGGGGCTGGGATAGAATTGTGCTGAATAAGAGGGGGGAAAATGAGATTTTAATATTGCAATATTTGCAACAGCCTGAGTCTTTAAAGTGGCAGATATTTGCATTCCAAGAGGAAATAAACAACTATGGTTCAGTCAAAGCCCACCTGGGGAGGGAGGCAAAGAATCAGGGTAACAACTGTGACTATCAGCTGATCTAAATTTCTCCCCTTTTTACCTGTACCAATGAAATGTTGTAGCTCAGGGTTGAAATGAAGGGTCCTTAGTGTTCTCTGAGTTTGCTTGTTTTCCTGTAGACATTTCATTACCCTAACTAGGTAGCATCATCAGTGTTAGTAAGGAGAGCTGTTTGCTGTCAGTTTATATTCTGGTGTCTTGCCTGCCTGTAAGGGTGGGTGGTCTTGAGGATTTCTTGATTGGGCTGTTTACTAATAGCTCTTTGGCAGTTTCTTGATTGTGGTATTGTTTATTTGATTGTTGACCTGAAGTTGGCCTTGGAGTTAATCTATGCTGATCTGAGTGCTGATAACTGGTGGAGAGGTGCTGGAGTCTTTTTTCTCTTTTGGGCTGGTTGATTGTCTCTTTTGCATAGTCTATAGATGTTATCAATGTCTATGTGTTTATTGATGGCTGATTTGTCAGAATGCAGGCTTCTAGAAATTCCCTGACAGTTTTGGACTTGGCCTGGTCACATTTTCCCAATTGAAACTATGGTTAAATCTGTCTATATGTTGTGAAATTAAAGAATTTTCATCGTACATCAAGAATATCTCAGAAATTGCAAGTAGACTACTACAGCCACATGGAATCAGCACAGCACACAAGCCAACTAAAACCCTTCAAAACTTCCTAAGCAAACCAAAAGACCCAGCAACTCCAGAAGGAAAAAACAGGAATCCTCCACAACATACAATGTAAGAACTGCAACAACCACTATAGAGGACAAACAGGCAGAAGACTGGCAGAAAGCATCCATGAACACCAGCTGGCAGTCAAAAGACATGATGAAAATTCTTTAATTTCACAACATATAGATAGATTTAACATCTATAGACTATGTAAGAAACAATCAACCAGCCCCAAAGAGAAAAAGACTCCAAAGAGCCATTAGTAAACAGCCCCACCAAGGAATCCCTAAGACCTCCCCCACCCACCCAGACAGACAAGACACCAGAATATAAACCAGGGGTAAGCAACCTTGGCTCTTTTATGACTCATGGACTTCATCTCCCAGAATTCCTGAGCCAACTGGCTAGGAATTCTGGGAGTTGAAGTCCATGAGTCATAAAAGAGCCAAGGTTGCCTACCCCTGATATAAACTGACAGCAACAGTGCTCCTTACTAGCCCTGATGATGTTACCTAGTTAGGGTAATGAAATGTCTGCAAGAAAACCAGTAAGCTCAGAGTAATACCCAGGACCCCTTTTTACCTGTGTTGAGCATGAAATGAATGTAGAAATATTATCACAGCTGCCAAGTTGCCTTAATGATCCTACCCTGGAGACTGCAATTCATTCAAAAGACTTTGATCAGGCAAGGGTTAAATGAGCACCTTCTCAATTTTTTTTTTTAATTTTTTTAAAACTCACTTTTTGCTCTCAGTAATGGAATGGATGGCGATCAAGAAATGAAGCTCGATCAGTGATCACTTGGCCAGTGATCCTCTCCTTTCTGGGCAGAAGAAGAGACAAAAACAGGACCACCACTACTTCCTAGCATAGTTCTTGGTGTCTTGAAGCTTATCTCATCTTAGATAATGCCGCCCCCCCCCCCTTTGCATCTAACCATGGCAAAATCCTTCCTCAACAATGGCCATTGCCTATTTGTCTCCAGGATACTGACTTCAGTTGGTGAAAGCTACAAGTCACCTGTTGCAATAGTAAATTGATGGTTTCCCCCTTATTCTGATCCCAGCCACGGACAGCCTGTAAAGACATAAAGTCAGTTTGGCTTTGTTTGTTTTTATTTTATTTATTAAACAAATTTATATAGCCACGCAACTGTCTCTGGGCAGCTTACAAAATGTAATCACCCGCTACCTTTGGAGGACGTCGAATGACAGGGAGCAAAGAGCAGTAAGGTAGATTAGACACCAGCAATAGGATAGCAAATTCATGCCAGTATAATTTCCTGCTGGCTTAAAGACAGGCGGAGAGTTCTAAAGTATAATACATTCCCTTAAACTTTCAGGGATGAACAAATCCATGAAAATTTGTGTTTTCTTTTCTCACTTTGTGGGGACTGAGGCATGGGAGGGGCCAATATAGCAGCAGCCACCTTGAGAAAGCTTCTTAATTTATCAGTTGATACTCATGGCTAAATTGGGTGCTAAAAGGTAGTGGGGCTTGCACTGATGATGTTAGTTTGGTAATGAAGCATCTGCAAGAAGCCCACCAAGCTCAGAGAGCAGCAAGGATCTCATAGTTTAACCTTGAGCTATAAGTATTTTTTTCTATTAATAATTCTATTTTCCTTTATTTGTATGAAAAACATGTCTTTCATACATTGTCCTGTCTTGAGCCTGAAATTTTGAAGGCATTATTTCTGAGTCTCCCTCCCCACCCACACATGGAGGTATTGAGGTGGTTGGAAAAATAAGGAGGAATAAAAGTACAAAGAAGAGCAACAAAGATGATTAGGGGACTGGAGGCTAAAACATATAAGGTACTGTTGCTGGAATTGGGTATGTCTAATTTAATGAAGAGAAGGATGAGGGGGGACATGATAGCTATTCTCCAAAGCACCTGAAGGCAGGACAAGAAGCAATGGATGGAAACTAACCAAGGAGAGAAGCAACCTAGAACTAAGGAGAAACTTCCTGACAGAACAATTAACCAGTGGAACAACCTGCCTCCAGAAGCGGCGAATGCTCCAACACTGGAAGCTTTAAAGAAGAGACTGGACAGCCATTTGTCTGAAATGGTACAGGGTTTCCTGCCTGAGCAGGGGGTTGGACTCAATGACCTCCAAGGTCCCTTCCAACTTTATTATTATTATAAATGGATTACAGCTGAGGGGAGGATATTAGCTGATAAATAGCAGACCCTCAGCCTGCTTCAGTTTGGAATGATCTCTTGAGACCTTGGCAGGAATCAGCCTTGGGGAGAAAATGGCATTTTCCATCCTTCCCGCATTTTGGAGAATGCAGACTTTGGTTCCCTTTTTTACATCTAGAAAAACAAAGGAAGTCCTTCACATCCCCTCACAACTGAGCCCAAAATTTCTGTGCTAAGTGAGATATTTGTTAACTGAGTTTTGCCCCATTTTAAGATCTTTCTTTCCAAGTTGTTAAGTGAATCACTGGAGTTGTTCAATTAGTAACATGGTTGTTAAGTGAATCTGGCTTTCCCATTGACTTTGCTTGTCCAAAGGTTGCAAAAGGGGATCACGTGACCCCGGGACGCTGCAACCGCCGTAAATATGAGTCAGTTGCCAAGCATCTAAATTTTGATTACATGATCATGGGGACACTGCAGCGGTCATAAGTGTGAAAAATGATCATGTCACTTTTTCAATTCTGTTTCAACTTCAGGCAGTCACTAAACGAACTGTTGTAAGTCAAGGACTACCTGTAACTAATTTAATCTCATTGACGAAAGCAGCACGGAAGCACTCTTACCTCGCACATAGATATCAACTGTCTGGCTGAAGTATGACCACATCGAATCTGATCGATATATACAACGGTATTGCCCCTGGTGTGATTTTTGGGCATCGATAATATGAAATTCATACTCATCGTGGTCTGTATGTTCACAATTTATTTTCGCATTTCCTTTGTATAGACAGAAAATGAACGTCCTTTTTACGTTCCCTTCCTTCTTGCAACTGATGATTATATTCTGCCCCACAGCAACTACGTTACTGGGATTCACTGAGATGGAAGGTGGGCGATAAGTTTGTCCTGGATAAGAGGAGAAGACAAGAGAGGTTGTAACATGGAGATCCTGAAAGCAGTTGTTTGTGGAATCTGGAAGAAATCCGTAGGTTATACTTTTAGCCAACAAATAATATTTCATGTGGTGTGTGAGGGCTATATATGAAATTGTGCAAAACTTGAAAAAGCAGCAACATGTCCCTTACTCAGTAACTCACAGCACATGAGTTGCCAGAGAGAGAGAGAGAGAGAGAGAGAGAGAGAAGGGGAGGGAGGGAGGGAGGGAGGGAGGGAGAGAAAGAGGGAAAGAGGGAGAGAGGGAGGGGGAGAGAGAAAATGAGAAAGGAAGGGAGAGAGAGAGAAAGGGAGAGAAAGAGAGAAAAAGGAAGAGAGAGAGAAAGAGGGAGGGAGGGAGAGAGGGAGGGGAGAGAGAATGAGAAAGAGGGAGGGAGAGAGGTAGGAAGGGAGAGAGAGAAAGAGGGAGGGAGAGAGAGAGGGAGAGAGACAAAATGGTTGCACTAATGTAAGATACTGTAGCTGTCTGGAAAAAAAAATGGGGTCCCTTTGGTTCAAAGAGTAAATCCCAATGGACTGGGGCGATCTCCCCCCCCCATATTTTGGAAGAGAGACTATCTTCCATCTTGGTTTTGGGTGCACAGGATGAACACAGCCCTCTCTCCTCTAATACCTTGTTTTGATTTTAGACATCTGCCTCCTGAGAAAAATTCCACTCAACCAAATCTTAGGACAAGTAAGTCTAAAGAAGGAACAAATCTTAGGACAAGATTGAGTAATGAGTTTTGGAAACTCCATCCACACAACTCCTTTGGAATTGAGGTGACAGGGATACCCAGAGTTCTCCCTTTAAGGAACTTGGCTCTGATCATCTCTCTGCATTCATGCAGTGTCATTAGATGCCTCCTTGCAGAAAACAAGACCCAGGAAAGGTGAACCCACCATGAATATGCATGACAGAAGGGAAGACCACAACATGTATTTCTCATTTTGCATACATCCAATAGTTGTGTGTCTAATGAGACTCACCTTCAGCCATCCACCTATGCTGGGTCAGCCACCATCCTGAAAAAAAGATGATTCCATTAGTGTCAAAATATCTGAGCAGCAGAAATTGATACTGGATCTTTGATCTTGGCACCATGTTGCCATCCCTACTTCTATCAACTGGCAATACCAACCCAGGAACAGATTGAAAATCAGCCTCATGCTAAGATTTTTGTAGGCAACAGATCTTCCGGTTTCCTAGGTCTTCTGTCTTGTCCCATCCAGTTGCTCAAAGGAACCTCTCCAGTTGATGCTGAAATATCACAAGAATCCCTGGAAAAGATTTTGTCCTGCACACACAGTCCTCCAAAAGCAGTTTAATTCAGACAACAGCCTCCTTATTCTGCCTGATGATTCTCTAAACTTCCACACTTATGAGAGGAAAAAGAAAGAAAATAGAGGAAGTGACAACAATCTATGGGCGTGTTGAAATGGAGGAACTGAAGCATCATTTTGCATCAGACTCAGAGCTTTACGGCTCTGTGACATTCCCTTTGAATTGGGGAAACAAGGGGGAAAAAACCTTAAGGTCCAAAAGTGGAATATCAAGTTTTCCTCCCATTGCCAGCAGATGGAAAAAAATAGACCTAGAATCATAGGGCTGGAAGGGACTTTGAAGGTCTTCTAGTCAAACACCCTGCCCAAGGTAGGACCATCCTGTACAAGTCGATGTCCTCCAGCAATGGAGCACCCACAACTCCAGGAGGTAAGCTGGAGATCATCCAAGGAATGTTGACTGGTGGGAACCAAGAGATGTGCCTTCTCTGCCATAATCCCTGCCTTTTAGAATAATAATAATAATAATAATAATAATAATAATAATAATAATAATAATGATAATGATAATGATAATGATGATGATGATGATGATGGAAGGGACCTTGGAGGTCATCTAGTCCAACTCCCTGCTCAGGCAGGAAACCCTACACCATTTCGGACAAATGACTGTCCAGTCTCTTCTTAAAGACTTCCAGTGTTGGAGCATTTACCGCTTCTGGAGGCAGGTTGTTTCACTGGTTAATTGTTCTAACTGTCAGGAATACTTTCCCTTCTGCTAATCGAATGACCTCAACCTGTTTGCCTTCCATAAGACTGTAAAGACTTGGTTGTTTGCCCAGGTTTGGGACCCAGAGTATGTTAAGTGCCCTATTTCCTGACTGTATTAACATCCATATTAAGAACTTTACTGAGTGCCTTATCTATCTATCTATCTATTTATCTATCTATCTATCTATCTATCTATCTATCTATCTATCTATCTATCTATCTATCTATCTATCTATCTATCTATCTATCAAATTTCTATATCACCTATCACACTTGCATGCCTCTGGATGGTTTACAAATAAAACAAGTGATATAAAAGCTATAGTTAAAAATAAGTATACTATACAAAAGTGCATTTTGTATTGTTGTAATTGTTTTTACCCCTTATGATATCACTTGTTGAGATAGGTGGCTATAGAAATCAAATAAAATCAAATCAGTGAAGAAATAAATACTAAAATGAAGTGATCTGCACATAGAAACGAAGCCCTAAGAAGATACGGGAACAATATTTTTGCAAGAATAGCTATCATGATAGCTAGGTTCATGTTACATAGAATTAATATAATGTGGACTTGACAATGGTCTATGACCACAATATTCTGACCATCCACTACAAAGAAAGACAGCAGTACGTTCAAGGGTTGGGACTGAATCAGGTACCCTAAACTGGACATGCAAACAGTAGCTCTCTGAAAGATACCTTGGCACAAACTATTTACGCTCGTTTTATTACTTTATAAACCACTAAACCATTCCAGCAAGTGGCCCCATCCAACTGATTTCAAGTCATTTTCAAAAGTTAAATAGGATCAGGTTTAAGTAGGATTTGGATAGGAAAGTAGTTCTTCTTTATGCAGAATATGGTCTGGCACAAATATCTATCTTTTCCCTCTTTTGGAAACATCAGCCTTCAATTTCTTTGTGTACAAATCTCTGCCTCATTGTGGGTGCTTCCTTATGGCAGGGTCCACATGCATTCCTGAGTTGGCTGAAAAAGTATTTAATTCTTATAGCTTCCGCAGCTGATATCTAAGTTGGTATCTTTACTGTACCTCAGCAGTGGGGCTGAGGAGTGGACAGTCCTTTCAGATCTAATGGGGCATAGTTCCAGGACCGCCACTGGCAGATCTGCTGCCTTTCTTTCTCCAATGAATATTAAGCTACTTTCTATAAGGATGGCATGACAGTGAAGGGTTGAGAATCAATTATGGCCCACTTCAGCATGTCTTCCATCAGCCACCGCAAACAGAAAGGCAAATACAAGTTTGAACATCTTCATTGGTATATTGTCCACGTCCTGACAGTAGCCGGGAACCAGGTCAGTAATTAGCCTTGAGACTTGAATTCCAAAAGTTTATGACTTGCTTATGACATGAGCTGTAGGGACCTGCTACAGGAGAAAAGACATAGAATTGAAGAGACAAGGAATTCCATGAGTCAGAATGTCAAGCTGGGGGTTCGAAGGCAGGGCCAGGAGCATGTGTGAGAGGAACCCTTCTCTGGAGTATGGGAGTTGTGTCCAAGACTGGCCAAAGGCTCAAAAGAAGCTCTTAGAGAACTCCAGGGTGCCAAATAAGCTTGACTGAGTAGCTGCTTCCCTATTCTCTCAGTGCTGACCAACTTAGCTCAGCCCTTTTGCAGCTGCTGGGCAATGTGGTTTTGGGCTGGGTGTCTTACCAGCATCTGGTATTCCCCAATCTGAATCAGATCTCACCTCTTGGGGGAATCACTGTTTCCTAGAGCACTCCAGGAGTCTGGCTGCCTGTTGGTTCCTCGGACTGATGGTTGGTGGTATCTGCCTCTTCAGTCTCTGCCTCAGAACTCAGATAGAACCACAACTGTCAGCTCGTCAGGTAGGTCAGATCAAGAAACAGGCATCACCAAAGTTATATTTAACTATTTAACCAGTGGAACAGCTTGCTTCATCACTCGAGGTTTTTAAGAAGAGACTGGACAGCCACTTTTCTGAAATGATATAGGGACTCCTGCTTGAGCAGGGGGCTGGACTAGAAGACCAGGAGGGAAGTGTGTAGTGGGGTGCCCCAGGGCTCTGTTCTGGGCCCAGTACTCTTCAACATCTTCATCAACGATTTGGACGAAGGGATAGATGGGGAACTCATCATATTTGCAGACGACACCAAGCTGGCAGGAATAGCCAACACTCCAGAAGACAGGCTTAAGATACCGAAGGATCTGGACAGACTTGAAAACTGGGCACTAACTAACAAAATGAAATTTAATGGTGAAAAAAGCAAGGTTCTACATTTAGGCAAGAAAAACCAAATGCACAAGTACAGCATAGGTGGCACCATGCTCAATAGTAGTAACTGTGAGAGGGACCTCGGAGTCCTAGTAGACAATCACCTAAATATAAATATGAGCCAGCAGTGTGCGGCAGCTGCCAAAAAGGCCAACACAGTGCTAGGTTGCATTAACAGAGGGATAGAATCAAGATCACGTGAAGTATTAATACCACTCTTCAATGCCTTGGTAAGGCCACACTTGGAATACTGCATCCAGTTTGGTCACCACGATGTAAAAAAGATGTTGAGACTCTAGAAAGAGTACAGAGAAGAGCAACAAAGATGATTAGGGGACTGGAGGCTAAAACATGTAAGGAATGGTTGCTAGAATTGGGTATGTCTAGTTTAACGAAGAGAAGGACAAGGGGGGACATGATAGCAGTATTCCAATATCTCAGGGGCTGCCATAAAGAAGAGGAATTAAGCTATTTTCCAAAGCACCTGAAGGCAGGACAAGAAGCAATGGGTGGAAACTAATCAAGGAGAGAAGCAACCTGGAACTAAGGAGAAACTTCCTGACAGTGAGAACGATTAATCAGTGGAACAACCTGCCTCCAGAAGCAGTAAATGCTCCAACACTGGAAGTTTTTAAGAAAAGACTGGACAGCCATTTGTCCGAAATGATGTAGGGTTTCCTGCCTGAGCAGAGGGTTGGACTAAATGACCTCCAAGGTCCCTTCCAACTTTACTATTATTATTATTATTATTATTATTATTATTATTATTATTATTATTATCATCATCATCATCATCATTATTATTATTATTACCTCCAAGGTCTCTTCCAGCTTTATTCTGATTATTAGTGATTATATTAATATGGGGTATAACAGAATCTTGAATCCCTGATAGAGTTTCTCTTTCCTTCCTTTTATACCCAGGAATCTTGAGTTTCTTCCTCACCCTTTCCTCTCATCCGCAGCTAAATGCCATTTTTGTAATAGTGGTGGATATTTTCTTCAAGGCTTCCTCTGTATTTCTCTACCATATGGATCATCTAGCTGCCTCCTATACCTCACTGAATATTCAGTCAGAATACTTGTGGGGGGGGGAGAGGGCAATGGTAGTTTTATTAGTCTATTATTGGTTCAAGAATAGTCTTGTCTAGTCTGACATAGTATAATAAATGACAGTAATTTACTATAGTTTTATTTCTTTTTTGTAAATAAAAACAAAAGTCTCCAATAAAAATAAGAAAACCTTTGGTCCCCAAGTTTCAGAAACATATAAATCCAATTAGATTAAAATTGTTCTTTTAGTGCTTTAACTCCCCTGGGTAGTCAGTCGCTGCTATTCTTAGAGGGTGGGGTAGAAATTCCCTTCCCTTTCTCCTCACAGCGGGAAAATATACTTTGGGCAGCTCTCACAGGAAAAGAAAATACTTAGGATCTTAAAGAGAAGATCGAATCTCACCCAGTTTCATCCACATTGCTTTAGAAGTGCTTGATGGTAAGTTTGACTTCGGTTATCTGCAGTTTAGTGATGAGCCATATTGCTATGGCCGATCTTTCCTCTGCCAGTTTGGAGGGCTGTCCTGGATCGAGCGGAAAGGCTGCTGCCCTCCCGTGATCAAGCGGGGGTCCCCTCCTTACTTATTGCCTCTACAGGGTGACTTTTGACCTTTCCAGAGTCCCCCAGCAGAATGAAATTGAATTTGGAACATGGAGCTTGCCTTCCAGTGGCTATGGCAGCTGTGATGGCAACCCGGAAGTCCAACTGTATTCAGTAATTTACTATAGTAAAATGGTATGATAGGATAGGGTATTAATATTAACTTCAGTTCTCTTAGTATAAAACTGTTCTACATCAGGAGAGGTAGAATGTTTTGCTGTTGTTTATGATAAGCAGCAACAAAGAGAAGAGAAACCCACACCTGACCATGCATTTTAGGGTAAAAGTTCTCTGTGAATTCCACTAAAAGCAGAGCTGAAAAATGTAGTAGAATGTAATTTTGTAATTCCTATCTGAATAAGGATTTGAGATCACCCACAAGTGCTCCAGACAGTTGCCCCTTGCAAGGAGACAACAAAACAGCAGTCTCTGGTTTAGAGCTTTTAAATAATCTAATCTTTAGATAAGGGAATAACAGGGCTTTTTTTTGTCATAGAACGCACCGGAACAGAGTTCCGGCACCTTTTTTCGATGGATTTTCCAGAATTGCATTCTTTTCCTATTGTTGCCCTTCCTATCCTCGTTTGTTTTTGAAAATGGCCCGTTGGCAGTACAGTGCTAATGGGGTCCCCTTCGGCGCTGCCTGCCTCTTCTCGGAGGAGCCATGAGGCGCTGGAGCACCACAGCCAAAGTGTGATTGGTTGGGTTGGACCAGGTGGTGTAGAAGCTGATAGTGGCAGTGGGAGACATATATCTTTCATGAGAGGGTGAGCGAGCCTTTTGCCTTCCCTTACAGAAGGTGGGATGTGAGGTTAAAAAGAGGCGAAGCGAGAGGAAAGAAAGGCGGCTGGCATGGAAGCTTGCCTGACAGCGAAACTTTGCTGTTTCATTTCCTTGGGTAGTTCAAAGGCTGGGATGTCTACAAAAATCTCTTTTTAGTCTTTTATACTTTATATTCAAACCGCAGAGGGGAAGAATAAGAACAAAGCCAATGTCTTGTGTTTTGGAGGTATTATTATTATTAATAATATATATTAATAATGTATTGGTCAGATGTAAAAGTAGACCTACAGTATGAGGTTTAATCAGATCTATTTATTAAATTGGGTTTAACTTAAAGGTAAATTAAAAATAATCTCTTCACTGACAAAGTTTCAACTTTAATTTGTTTCAAGTCAATATCCATATTAAATTCCAAATGTAAATTTTTCCACCTTGTTTGACAACTTCTTAAAAATAATTCAATCTTTTACAAGCAACCCAATTTTGTTTTATTGGGCCAATTTCATTCCACATAGAAAGCTGACATTTCCACTCATTAAACTAAATGGGTACGTCAGTGGTAAATATCCCAAAAGATTAATAAAATGCCTTCTTGTAATTTAAAGCGACAGTGCATGGTAACATTAATAGTATTAACTTACTTTGAACAAAATCCTAGTCTTATAGATACACTAAAAAATTGAAGGGTTTTTTTCCCAACTACAAAGGTAAACCTTGTAGCGTAGGCAAGGTGGGTTGTATGATGTGAGTTCTGGCACTTTTTTTTTTTTTTTTTACAAAAAAAAAAGCAGTGGGAATAACCGTCTTGCTCAAACCATGATCAGCCACTTTTGGACTGATCGGCTCTTTGGTTTGCTGTTAAATTGATAGAATTTGACCCATAGAAATTTGTGTCCTAAAGAAAAACATCTCTGCTTCAATGAAAAGACTCCATACACTCACTACTGAGAGGAATGAAGCTGTATTTCATATTGTCACAGTCAAAAAATCAGATGCAAAAAGATACACTTGTATATCCCTAGGTTATGAATAAGATCCATTCCTAAGTTTGGCTATAAGTCAAATTAGTGGGTTAAGTTGGAACAATTATTTAGCATCAGTTAGTCAACTGTCTGAGCATATAGCAATGATGGCGAACCTTTTAGAGACCGAGTGCCCAAACTGCGACCCAAAACCCACTTATTTATCACTGGGTGCCAGGTGGGCGTGGCCCACTGGGTGGGCGTGACTGTGGTGGTCATGGTAGACTGGGTAGGTGTGGCCAAGGTGAGTGTGATCACCTCGATGTTGCTTGTGGGGAGGGACGCATGTGGGGGCCGGGCAGGGTTGGGGGAGATCCAGGGGGTCTCTGGCGGGTGGGGCGGTGGGCTCATCCTGCGAGGTGAGGCAAGGCGAGACAGGGGATGGGTGCCATTGTCGCAGGGCAAGACAAGGCAGGGGCTGGGTGGCTGCTGCCTGACACCATTGGTCCCCGCACACAGAGGCCAGCGAGTGCATGGGTACTGGGATGCATCCGGCCACATGGGACCTCAGTGAGTTAGTGGGTGGCTGGTTGAAGAGGGACAGTTAGCATCTCCAGGGCATGGCTCGTGTGCCCACAGAGGGGGGCTCTGAGTGCCGCCTCTGGCACGCATGCCATAGGGTTCACCACCACTGGCATATAGCATATATTTTACCTTTCTGCGCACATGAAACACTTAAGAATCACTCCAAATACACTATTATTATTAAATATAATATGCTATATGGTAATAATTATACAGTAATTATAAAAGTAACTGCATATGGTACTGTACTGAAGAGAGATTATCTGTGTATGTGTGCACAGATATACAAAACTGTAAAAAACATGAAAAACTTTTTCAAAAGAGTTTTGATAGGAAAAAAAGATCATGATTAAAGAATAACACTCTCCTTCCATAGATGCCTTGCCTACTGGAAGGGTTGTGCATGAAGTAATACAATGAAGATAACTGGAGACGCAGGGAAGATGGAGAGATGTTGAAGATGTACTTTTATGAAAACTTATGTTATTGCTCAGACCTCAGTGGACTGGTTGATACCATTGTAAGGGACAAGGGTCTTTCCATGCTTTTTTCAAAACAGAGACCAAATTAGACCTTTCCCAAAGGGAGTTTGTGTTTCAAAGGGAGCTGAACATTTCCATTCTTGAAAATGCGAGACGGAAGTAACTGTTCTCACCCTAAGGCTGATTCCTACAATATTCATAAACCAAAACACTTGTGCAGCCAAACTCATGTGTGTGTTTGTCAACAGTTAATATGTCCCCTTGAGAGAAGACCAAGAATTATATAGGTTAGCAGATCACACGTAGTCCTACCTTGCCTTCTCTTCTGCAAAGAAAGAAATCTGGATAAGATTCAAATGCCTTTCAGTTCTTGATCACCATCAATCCTGTGTCACTGATGGCAAATGGATTTTGGAAAGGTGCTAATTAGGTCCAACTGCCTGACTGAAGAATTTTGAAACAATTGCAATCTCAAGGGTATGTGTATGTGTGGGGAGCTTAAGGCAAGATGGTGGTTGTGACCATATGGTTGAAGTCTTGACCCTTTTCTACATTCAACTCATGCTCAATGAAAGTTAAAAAAGAGACTGGTTTTGATCACCTCATGGTCACAGCTGCTATTTTGATATCTTGATTCTCCCATCAGAAGTCAAATCTACAAAGAAGAAAGTGATTGAATCCTTTATTGTCAGTGCCCAAGAATCAGACGGAGGGATCTAGTCTTCTAACTATGTATTCAACCAAAGCTCTGAAAATAGATACTCAAAGTTTAGTAACAAAATGTACATCAACGTAAGCAGTCAGGACAGGATTCATTTTCTGGCTAATTTTTTTTACAAAAGAAACTTCCTTATTTTTGCATTTTGCAATCTGATCAGGAAATAACGTAATGAACTTTTAAATCTAGAGGAGTTGCAGTCCTGGTTTCAAAAGAAGTTATGTACTCATTGAGGTTTTTATATAAACATGCTATTACTGAGTTCATATAACGTCCCAATTAGAGTTTTAAGTAAAATTGAACTATTAGTAAAGTTGAAGTTAAATTAGCAAGTCTCATAGTACCATAAAGGGGAAAACCAAGTGTTCCATCTTTGGGATCAGACTGAAAGGCCCAGGGACCTCCAGTTATTGCGATCAGCTCAGAGGAAGCCCCTTTGTGAGGGCTGAGTTAAGTGAGTCTGTGTAGGTGCAGGTGAGAGTTTGGATTGCTATTTCCCCATCCTCTGAACCCCTTGAGTAAGAGGCATGATTTGGGGCTGAAAGAACAAAATGAGGATCTTTAGAGTGAGGCATTTGAGGCAATGGGAGGGTGAGATGTTTTCAGCTCCTATGCAACCATTCATACAAATGCAGGACCAGAAACCTGAATAGTTAAAACTAAGATCAGAGGTGGTGGTGGGGGGTCTGACAATTCTGGTAGAATATCTTCAGAAAAATGGCAATCCCAGAATTGCTTTCTAAAGGAAGCTCAAGCATGCATCTTATGTAAATTGTTTGTATAACTTTTAATTAGTTTATTCTAATTCTGCTAACAACTGGAAGGTTGGAGAGACATACAGGTAGTCTTTGACTTACAACCATTCTTTTAGTGACTATTCAACATTACAAGGACATGGAAAAAAAGTGACTTCTGACCGTTTCTCATACTTATGACCGTTGCAGCATTTCTGTGGTCGCATGATGAAAATTTGGATGCTTGGTAACTGGCAGGTATTTATGACAGTTTCAGTGTCACGTAATCGCCTTTTGCCATCTTCTGACAAAATCAACGGGAGAGCCATATTCACTTAACAACAGCACCACTAACTTAACAACCGCAGTGATTCACTTAATAAGCAAGAAATGTCACAAAATGGGGTAAAACTCACTTAACTCTCTTATTTTTTTTAAGGCTCAATTGTGGTGGTAAATTGAGGACTACTTGTATTGAAAAAAAAGACTACCCGTGGTCCTTGACATATGACGGAGCCTGCCCATTACAGCCATAAGTGGTAATAGTTACAAAATGGGCTGACTCAATTTTACAACCTGTTTCTGCGGTGACTGTTAAATGAACCTCATCACCAAAGGTTCACTAAGGACACGGTTTTGCCAAAAACTGGAAGTGCTGGCTTTGGCAGAACTGATACAAAACACCGTCACATAACTATGGGAAACTACAAATAGCTCTAGATGCAGCCATGTTGCCAGGCGTCCAAAATTCAGCCATCCGAACACAGAGTGAGCCCAACCATTGGAACTTTGAATCCGGTTGTAAGTAATGCTTGGGACAATCCTTGTTGTAACCTCGAATGGTTGCTAAGCAACCGGTTGTAAATTGAGGATTGCCTGTAATTCAAATATTGACTAAGAGCATGTAGGAAGGAACCATTGTTACAGATCAGGAGTAGATTTCAATGTCCACAAATTCCTTCGGCTTTGGATGATGATGGATGGCGAGAGTGACATGAGAGTGAAGAGCAGGAGCCTCATTGCTAAAGGCTCCACCATTGTCCTAAGTACCATAGTTTTAAGAGCATCCTGACGATCTCATTTCTGGAGCCCCCAGTATGATCTGGTCCTTACACAGGGCATCTATAATTTACACATGGGGGGGGGAATAAAAATAAGGTATTCTTGCTTGTATTTGACTCAGGAGTCTCCCAAGGTCCTATGACACTGATGCATATAAGCAAGGTTCAGGGGTTTGCCAAGGATTGGTTGCCTGTTGGGTATTCCGCGGCTGGTGATTCAAAATAGCATAGGAGACTTCATCCGGATGTTCTTCAGCAGCAGAGGACTAGAAAGAAGAAGAAAGTCTTAGGAGGCACACTTTCCTTCTCTTTTGCAATGCAAGCACATGAGGTGTTGAAATGGCGTGTGTGCATGAGCTTGGTACACAAGGAGAAGAGATGCTGCAGATAAAAGGAGGAGAAACCTGCAACTTACAATGGGCAGAGGAAGAAGCTTAGTAAGGATCCGTCCTAACTTATCAGGTGGTAAAAAGAGGCAGTGAGATTTGCAAGGTTGATGTAAACCTCCCAAGTACTAACATCCCTCTGAAAGTACAAATTTCCTGCCAGCTCTTTTTACCACCTGAGGAGTTAGGGTAGATCCTTTCTAAGTTTTTTTCTTCTCCTGTTGTTCAGCTGCAGGCAGTTCCCACTTTTACCGATCATTCCCTGGGCAAGATCTCTTCCCCTTTTCTTCCAAGGTCATTCCCACATATCACTTATTAAAATAAAAGAATTCAACTCTGCAGATTTGCAAGATTTATGTCAGCCCTTTGAGGTGGACCAAACTAGAAAACCAAAGTTAGGAATACAACTACTACTTTTATTATAAAATTACAATAAGAGAATTGTGTAAATCTCATTGAGATCCCCCCACCATCTTTGTGAAAATTAGGAAGGGTCAAATCTGAGATGTTTTCTCAAATTACTCTTCTGCCTTGTACTCAAATTTCATTTATCCGACGACTGTCTTAGTTGTGGCTCTTCCTCTTGTTCCTCATGGCTATCCCTACTGCCCATGATATGCAGTGATTCTTCAACCACTCATAACCTACTCTCTATTAGGGACAGAGGGGTTGCAAACAGAAAAATCTTGTCCTCTCTTTGTTCATCATCTGTTTTGGCTACTTGTTTGCTAATCCTTTTGATCTCACTTTTGACTTTTGTTCCCAGGTATCCCCAAAGGGAGCATATACTCTTTCATCCTCTTTCCAACAGGATGAAAACAGTGGTGGGATTCAGCTGGTTTGCACCTCTTCGGCAGAACTGGTAGCTAATTTTTTGTTGCCCAGGCCCAGAATGGACTTCTGGAAGCGGCATCCACACAGAGAACTGGTTGTTCATATATTTGAATCCCACCACTGGATGAAAGTACTAGGTTTATCTGTCCCTGTCATATATTTCTTGTAAATACATCTCCTTTCTGTTCATTAATCAATGCTCAGGCCATATTCCTGTTCTTAGGACCTTCACATGCTTCCACATAATGCTTCTACTTCCATCTTGGAAGAGAGAGCTAGAGAGCTTCCATTTTTACATGGAATAGAATGAAAACTTTTTGGCCTCAGAGAAATCAAATCAAATTTTCTGGTTGCTCACTGTCACAGGACTGTACTTACATACGATCCCCATTTTTCCCAGTTATATAGTTTGCATGAGATAAGGAGAGCTAAGTCAGCCTCCAACAAGAATGGTCAGATCTAGCCTTCCTTCTGTTAATTGAGCAGGTCATTTCTGGGGTCAGAGAATTCATAGGCCCAGGAATGTCTTCCCATTCACTCTCATGATGTAATTATGAATTTAATGCCACCAGTTTCATTAAGTGGAGCAGTTTCTGAAATTCTAAGTCACACATGCTCAACAATCTTCAAGCTTTTGTGTGTCTTTCTTCAAGCACACTCCCTAAAGCAGGGGAAAAAGTAAATGGTTTTAATAGTTAATGTTATCATTTTTTTTTCTTTTTACAACCCTGTAATCCCTCTTATTGGGGTGGAGTCAGAGCTACTGAATGGAGTCGAGCATGTGCTGGCCAGGTGCCCTTCCTGATGCCTATGCAGAGTTCACAGCAGATATTTTCCCTTTGCATCCTGATAGAGAAACATCTGTCACTGCCTAGGATTGAACTTTCAGCCTTCTGAGTGGTAGGTGAATGTTTTTACCTCTAGGCCACTCTTATTGAATGTTATCACTTAATTACAGTTACGGTATTAGGTTTACTCCCTGTGCAGTAATGTTCTCCTTAGATCAAATGAAAACTGACAATTCAGAGGTAACTTTGGAAGGACTAACATCTGTATCTGATGAAATAATTTAGACAAGGAAGGCACAGTTATGAAAAGAAATATCTTACCAGATTCATTGCTGGGTTATCTTTACTGGTTTTGGAATCTGAGGATCAAAGACAGGCATGAGATTCTTTGCCTAATTTGTATTTAATTAAAATAATAGTAGCTGATCCTTTCCAAAATATTCTACTCTTAAAATGCCTAAATGAATAAGTCTCTATCAGAGTTGATTTATATCAAAAAAGTTTTGTGCCAAGGTGGCCCTACTCTACCATTTCATGACCCATCACATTTGCCCTTTTTTATTTTTATTTGTATCTTTTACTGATTTTATTATAATTTATTTGATTGTTGTGAGCCATTCAGAGTTGCTGAGAGTTGCATGGCATACAACATTAATTTTTTTAAAAAAATATTCATTGCTTAAAAACTTCCTCCAGTTTTTAAAATGCAGCTGCTAAGATCTTCATATTATTCCAGTTTGAAAAGCTGATATATCTGGAGGACTTTTCATATGAAGCCTGCAATTAAAACAAATTCTACCCATTTCCAGCTTAGGTCTTTGCACTTCAAATTTACAATTTCCTTTCTGGTTAGATTTGCTTGCACCACTTCATTAACATTAGACATGAGATTAAGTCTGTTCTGCTTATTCAAAATGTTAATGTTTTATCTTGTACTGCTGATTTATTGCTCAATTTTCTTAATTTTGCATTTCTCTTTTGTCAGATGGCTTCCTTTGCTTTTAAATGTCTGGGGTAAGCCATTGTAAACCATTTTTAAAACATGTTCATATGTTGAATTGTAATGGTTATAATACATTTCTTCAATTTCTTTAAGCCACTTTTTTTCTTAATTCAAGGAGTATATACAAGCTTAATTCAAGGTGTATATCAAGGAGATATACAAGCTGTTTCCCTTGGGTTAGAAGAAGATCTTTCTGGTCCAGTTATCAAGTTTTCAGATTTTATTACCTATTGCTAGCAAGCTTTAAGCTTTTTTTTAAATCACAAAGTCTAAAATGTGCTTTACCTCTCTGTCTGATACTATGAGCTATCATCTTTTAGGGAGAAGCTTTTTATGCTTTTGATGAAAATGAAGGCAATGCAGTAATTCCGTGAGCCTTAAATACCATGGTTGGTTATTGTTCATCTACTTCTCTATAACCATGTTTATTACAAGATCATCACTTACTTTTTCTCCTTTTCCTGTACAATACCACAGTCAGCGGCAACACAACCAGGAAAGCGCTCACCCCAATGCCTGCCCATAAATATGGGCTAAGAATATCTGTAAAGCCAAAACATTTGCATTATACTGCTCCTCCTCTAGACATCCATCTCAACGCTCATGTAGGGTTTCCTAGAGGTTCGTCCTCATCCTTCTGGAGATGAGACAGGTTGAAACTGGCACCCTTTGGAGACAAAGTATGTCCCTAAATTAGACTTATGGTCTTTCCACACCTTCTGCTGACAGAGGGGAAGAAAAGCTACTATGATTCTTAAATCAATGTGTTTGTTTTCCTCAATGGAGTCCTTTCTCCACACTGCTTTTGTCCATGGCTCCTGGTTCTCAGTCCATCCCATGCTTCTCTTTTTCACACACACACACACACACATAGACACAAACATAAATTCCCTGCGTCATCATTTCACATCATGCAGCAGACCTAGACTTTAAGCAACCATATGAGTCAAACCACTTGAGTAGATCTTTCCATATCCCTTTCGTCACACAAACACTAAAAATATCTAATGATGCCTTTCTGGAAAGTTTTGCTCCTAGTGTTTGTCCTCTATCAGACTCCTTACTTAATTCACGGACACAAACATATTCTTTCTTTTATCTTTTTTTTTATTTAGCTTTCTGAAATAAAAAGAATGGACTTTCATCCAACTGTCTGAAGTTCCGCAGGGACAAGCCTGTTTGCTTAGGCAGAATTGCCTTTTCTGGAGCCCTATAGATGTACTAGATAACACCCCATCCCCCCAGTCTTCAGCTAACACATTTGGAAGCTAATATGTTGGGCAATGTTAAATGAAGGAATGTTGCCTTTTTCCAGTTTTCATGCCCATGTTTTTCTTCCCACCACCTTTCTATATCAAATCCAGAAAACAATAACTACTATAAACTAACACGACTCTTCTACAATGTTTATAAGCTGCAGTAAATGAATTTCGTAAAATTAAAACAAATCATTCTTCTCATCAGCTGTTATGTATCTTTTAGCTCTGCAAACTAAATCACCATGTCCTAGTTTGATTTTATAGGAGAATATAAATATGATATGTCCTCATTAATGGATAATTTAGGATGCTTTTTAGATATTGCTGAAATAAACTTTTGAGCATCCTTTCTTACAGACACACCAGTTGTGGCTTCTGCATTGTGATTCAGCAACCTCTGCCCCTTACAAGGACAATGGCAATCTACTAGAGAAACCATCTCAGGCAGTTAAGTAGGAGGGATTTGCTAGAGAAACCATCTCAGGCAGTTAAGTAGGAGGGATTTAAAAATGGAGGGGAAACGAGAAAATTCTTTGTTATAAGCATTTTAAAATAAAGTAACTGAGACAGGGCAAGTTAATGGACTTATGCACAATTGTCTAAGGTAGACTTGAAGTTGCCTAGCTAACTGTTCTTGAAGGACAGGTACTCCTGACATTGCTTTACTCTTTCCCATCCATAGCTAAGGATGCTTTAAATCTACCTAACTCAATATTGAAGTAGTATTTTCACCTTGCTACATGTACCGTATGTGGCACTTTTGTAGCAACTGTGGTGATGATGGTGAAATGAGGACTGAGACCTTCTGAGCTCCTAAGGGCCATTTTTGGCTGCTAAGAACACCTCCCCTTTTTTCTTTCAGTCACTGGTGATGTCTCTCTCTGTCCATTTTAACTTTTTGGGAAGAGGTATTGGAATTTTGCTTGATCTGTTCTCATAATATGCTAATAGGCGTTATATAAACTTCTTAACTCCTTATCTCCCGTAGCTCCTTATTTGCACAGATCTAGCCATCTCACATGCTAGACACATGACACCCCTCAAAAAAACCCCTCCCATGGCCCTTGGGTGACAGATGGTTTGTGGGGTGGAGAGTGCGGGTGAAGCAATGAGTCCACCCACCAGTGTCGGTCAGCTGGTTTTAGATGGAGCAAGTGGGCAAGAGAGTGACCTTGAGAGACAGGAAGAAGAGCTGCAGATGGTGCAGCTGGAATTTAAAAGACATCTCAGCCCACAGAAGGGGGAAGGAGCACGGGGAAGCACTTCAAAAGGGACCCTCCCTAGTTTGCCAGAGAGAAAAAGGAAAAGAGGGGAGAAATACTTTTCAGCCTTGCAAGATTCTGTTAATGTAACCTAATAATAAAGATAGAGCTAGTACTCCTGTTTGTTTTTCTTCTCTGGACTACCTTGCAGGGATAACAATGAAAGTCTGAAAATATATCTCCCCTCCAGAAATCCTATACAATAGGTAGGCTAAAATCAAATAAATAGATAAAGTACAGGTAATCCTTAACTTGCAATCATTTGTTTAGTAACTATTTGGAGTTGTAATGAGGCTGAAAAAAAAATCCAGTCCTCACACTCTCAACCACTTCTTGCACTTATCATTGACATATCACCCTCATGTGATCCCAATGAGGATGCTTGGCAATCAGCTGGCATATACGACTGGTTCCAATATCCTGTACTCATGTGATCATGATTTGCAACCTTTTGGGGGCAGTTCTGGCAAAAAATTTAGAAGAGTGGATTTGAACTTCTGAGTATGGCATTAACGATCATGGAGGGTCACTTAATGGTTATCATAAAAATTGTGGTAAAATCAGGTCTGACTTGACTTATGACCACAATGACTTAGCAAAAGAAATTCCAGTCCCAACTGTGGTTATAAGTTGAGGACTATCTATAGAGGTAGAAAATGGAAAATCAGAGCACAGGAAGGAGTGCAATATATGCAGTGACGAAGGAGAAAACAGGAGTTTCAGATTGTTCAGCCATGAAAAGAGAAGTTTTAAGTAGAGCTTCTCAAATTACATGAAGGGATATCACATAGAAAAAAGTCAAAACCTGTTCATTTCATTCCAAAATGCAAAACATAGAATGATGGAGCTAAGTTATAGTAAGACAGAGTTTGGCTGAATGTTAGTAAGAACTTCATAACAATAAGAGCATTTTAGCAGTGAAAACAATGAGGTGGTAGGACCTCCTTTATTGGGTGTAAGCTAAGACAGTCATCTCACTGAGGTAATTTAATTTGAATTCCTGCCAGGGGTGTCAAAAAAGAAAAGATGGTGATTGCGCCAGTGCAACTGAAGCCCACTCTCTTGATGTGTGTGTGTCAGTATTGTGAATACATACAAAGGAGTAGGGCTTGGATTGCATTGTTGCATCACCAACTTTCCTGTTTTGACCAATCCTTGCAAACAAACCTGATTTCAGTATAGAGCAAGTGATTGATATCAAAGGCACCAGTGCAATTTTTCAACTCTGGAATTCTGTGAATCGGAATTCAATTCAGATCCCACTCATAAGAATTCTTTGCAAAGATCAAGAGACGGCCAATGTGCAGGGGACAATCCAAATAAGAAAATGGTAGGAAATGGATATGAAAAATTATCACTAGGAATGTTGAGAAACCATGAAATCCATTTAAGGAAGAAAAGCAAAGGCCACATATAGAGCAGAGTAAACAGAAATAGAATTCCATCCACCATTAAATCTGCAAAAAGATCTATAACCTCAGGTGTTTTCCATTTCCATCCTACTTTCTGTAAGTTCTCAATGTGCTGGAAAGTGACCACAATTAAGTGCCTTGGGGCCAGTCAGGCTCTATGCTCTACAGTTTTAGCAATGCTGCAAAGCAACATTTCTTAGCAACATGCTTGATTCCTAGACTATATTTAGACCTGCATGTAGGTCCGAGAAACACAATTGGAAAGAGTGATTGAAAATTAATAATTTGTTTGGAGATATATCCATAGGCCCACAGGAAAAATCAAAGGAAAACTGTATGGGGGCTAAAAGGGTACTGAGGAAGCACTGCCCACAATTTGCTACTTGGGAAATGGACATCTTCTGACTAGTCAAACCATCAGGGTGGCTATTTTGAGAAGAAGCAAGCTCTCAAGACAGCCATCTTGGAGACTGCCCAGCACATGCTTGCTTTTCTAGATATGCTCACTTAACCCCACCCTGCCCTCTTGGTGATTTAGCACCAGTCTCTGTCTCTGCAAAATGTTCCACCAGGGATTTCTGGGTGGATGGATTATACCATCATTCAAAAAATAATAATAATACATATATCTCATTGATTGGTGGCAAAAAAATTGGAGCTGTGTTAGGGTTGGTCTATACCTCAAAATCAAACTCAGATTTTGCAAAATCCAACTCAGACCTGAGCAATTTTATCTCTGTTTACCATAATCCTCACAGCAGCCTTGAAGATTTTAATCAGGCTCTCCTTTTCCCAAAGGCATGGTTGAAGATCTGTTCTTACCCCCAAGGATAATTAACCAAAGTTAAAACTAACTATGCTTAGTATGTTGTAGCTGCTAGGTTTATAATTGGTTCAACAGGTTGTGTCAATGGAGTTTGCATAAACACAGTCCTCATTCTTATTTATGAAGGACAAAATCAGACCATTTTTTAGCCCCTGGGACTCTGTTGAGAGATTCTCACCTGAAGCATTGGGTTTTCCAGGTGTCGTCTCCATGGTGGGATTCATTATCTCAGGATCTAAAAACAATCAGGATTCAAGAAAGGAATTCCTTTATTTCTTTGGATTTCAACAATATTTCTTGTGAAATCTCCTAGCAAATACCAGGGTTTTTTGCACATTTGCAACACATCTTCATTCATTGGCAAAGAAAGGAGAATTCCCCCCAAAACAATGGGGATGGAAGCCCAGCAACACTCTAAACCAAACGTATGAACCTCTTCCATCGAGCAACAACAGTGAATAAATCTAAATCAGTGGTTCTCAACCTGTGGGTCAGGACCCCATTTGGGGTCGAACGACCATTTCACGGGGGTTGCCAAACAATGCAGTCCGCCATTTTTTCCCCTTTTCCTGAGCTGTGCTACTCCCTTTTATTCTATTGGCTTTTGAAAGCCAATAGAATAGACTCTCTTGAATAGAGTTTAATTCTATTGGCTTTCAAAAGCCAATAGGAATTGTCCAGGCTGTCTCTGCCCTGCTGAGCCCGCCAAAAGTCCCATTCTGCAAGCGGTGCTGCACCAGTTGAGTAGTCCTCGACTTACGACCGGTTGAGTAGTCCTCGACTTACAACCGGTTGGGGATCGCGGCATTAAAAAGGTTGAGAACCACTGATCTAAACCATCACCAGCAGATTTTCCAACAAGTTAGGGTCTTTCTGTTATGGGCACACTTCCATGTCTACCTAAAGCTGGTTACATGATCAACTTCAGAGGACAGGCAGGGCCCATAGCTGAAGGTCCTGCAGGTCCTGTCTTGACCCGTCCCTTCTCATCTCCCCCTCCCTGAAAAAAGGAGTACACACATTGCCAATACTCCCACCCCTTCCCCTCCATGTTTCTCTGGGAGGATTTCCTGGTCGTTGGCAAAGCAATTTCAGCAGTTGCTGAGGGATAACTTTAAAATAATATAAATTGCCTCATTTTATGCTTAAAGGATCACTGCTAGCATTCACTATTGGAGAAATATCCTAAAATATGTACAATCTGGTGATGAAACAGCTCAGGAGTACAGACAAGCCTTTGGTCAGTATTGCAGTATTTGTCTCTTCACCCTCCTGCCTCTCTATCTCTTCTTGGTCTCCTGAACATTAATTTTATTGATATAATCTACTAAAACAAGAATTGTCTATCTCTTCTTGCCTCTCTGCCAGCTTTCATATTGATCTATCTTTTCCCTGTCTACCCTGAAACATTTAATGGACCCCAGACAGATACTGGTCTAATGTTTTATGACAATCAATCTGTCTGATATCGACTACTAAGGGTTCTGCCCCAGTTTGAGCTCTTCCAGAAATTCAGTCCATCTCAGATGGGGCAAATGGAGAAAAGGAAATGTGCTACTTTGGTGACTTACCTCTCAAAGGCAGCTCCAGTGGTTCACTTGGCACTGACCAGAGAAAGGGATTGCTTTCTTGGTGGTACTGGCAGGTATAACTTTGTGCCTCTTCCAACCTCTTCCAGTAGAGAAAAAAATCCACTGTCTTTCCCCCTGACTCTGCAGCCTTGTAATCTATCTGCTTTTTTGATTTCAGAAGAGCAAAAGTCAGATCTTGTTCTATCCCTTCACACCGTATGGTGAAGTATGGATGTTTTTTTACATTTAAAATCTGGATGGTAGGCTTGTTCAGGCTGGAATCTAGAAGGGGGAAAGATTCAGTGAAATCTCAGAGATCCTTGTAGACAAGTACCTCCTGCTTCATTCAGCCACCAGAAAATCTCTCTCCCTTTTCAGTCTTTTGGCAATAAAAGGATCCTCTTCTCCATTTTCAGATATATATTTTTTTCAGATATTTATAAATAAGTTTATTTATTTCTTTCTCAGTTCATTATTCCACCCAAGCACCCAAATTTCCCTTATCTTACATTCTGTGTCTTCAAAGTGATATACTAAACAATATTAACTTACAGAGAGAATAGCATATATAAAGCAAAAAGATATCAAAATGAAGTTGTAGGTGCCGTGATGTATGTACGCAAATGGATGCATTGTGTCACAAGGTCAGCAATATCTAATACAAAGAGGTTAGTTACCACATTTCTATTCTGACATCATCATGTACATGTTAACACTCTTTGTCCAACCCAATGGATGACCAAGCACAGATATGGATTTGGCATCTCAAAGGCCACAAAAGAACTTAATTCACATCAGGTCAAGCTAATGAACCAATTTTAATCTAGATCACATCACCATGGACACAGAAGGGAAATCTCTTGCAAAACGCATGAATATTTTAGTTGAAGGAACTTGGCTTTCCATTCAGGCATTATAAACCCTAATTTCTTGTACCAGTGATCTGAGTGGTATACAGAGTGCTCCCTCTTCTTTCCCCTTCTCAATAACAATCCTGTGAGATATGTTGGTTGATAGAGAGCAAACCAGGAACTTTATTTTTAGGTTTAATGGAAAAAGATTTGGAGGGGTTTTTTTTTTGAACTTTGATATCATATATGTTGAGAGCAGCAAGATTACATTATACACAAAAATGGCAGTACACTTCAATCCCCACAATGGATGAATGGTTGCAAAAGCTGATGGAATTAGCAGAGTTGCCTAAATTGACTGCTTTGATAAAAGGAAAAAAACACAATTACTTTGGTTTCTACTTGGAAACCGCTTCTGGACTTTGTCCTTGAGGTAGAAAAAAAAGAAAACTTTAATTTGGGGTTTTACTGATTAGATAGATTTGTTGTTATAGAAATGGCTAGTTTCTACTATTATGTAAAAATAAAAAGTTGGAGTTTGATGTTACTTCTTATTCAACGACACCAAAGGGAGTCAGAAGTCAATGTCTTTTCTTTCTTTTTCTCTTCTTTTCTACACTTTTCTCTTCCCCTTTCCCTCCTCTGTTTTTCCCATTATTTGCTTTTGTATTTTATATTACAAGCTAATAAAAAGGATAAAATACAAAATGAAAAAAAAAAGATAGAGAGTAATTTGTCCAAAATTATCCAGTGAGCTTCTCTGGCAGGGAAAGGAAACATTGGGCAGATGCAAAATTGTGAAACTCTTTGTAGTGAAAATCAAAAAAGGACAAAGCATACATCACCTGTTAGGTTCAGATAGATTTTATTGCTGAAGTCTGAACATTCCCTTCCATCCAGGCATGATCTGCAGTCGTATTTGCCCTCGTGTGACTGGGTGAGAGGGGACAAGAAAAATGCAGCCTGATTGGATTGTGCCTGCTTACGTGCCTTAGTTTCCATTGTATAACTTGTATATCTGGTGAGATAGAACATTCCATGAAAATTATACTCAGTCCTGCAGACGATGGTGACGCCTTCACCCAAAGCAACTGTCCCACTGAAGTTGGCAGATATCAAAGGCTTGGGAAGAGTTTGGCCTGGATAAGAAAAACAAACAAACAAAAAACAAAACAGCAGAATAAAACCTGAAAGGTGCAGCATCTGTTTATCCCAGTCCACAGAAATGGAATCACTAAAGGAACAATCAAACTCTTTCTATGTTTGGAAGTAGTACTTTCTTTTATGGAGAGTGCCTGATATTTTTGGGAAGAAATGATTACCAAGCATTTAACCAGAGAATACTCCTGCAACAATATCTATTTTGTTGCCATTTATTATCAAAGATTTCAACACCCAGGTTTTTTTTTTAAAAAAATATAATCTATGCCCAACTTCTGTTATTGGTCAAAACCAGCTGGTCTTTCTTTCTCACATGAACTGCTTTTTCAGCCCTGAATTCTTTTTGTGGGCTTGCTTTTTCCTGTGCTAATTCTTTTATTTCCTCTTTCTTTATAATAGAGACATTTCTAATAATGGTAAGTCAAGCATTTCAAATTTGAAATCTGCTTAGTTCAAAACAGACTGATCTGCCTTTATAGTGTGCGATTTTGAACTTGAAATCATGCATTTGGCTTTGAAATGTTTTACATACCCGTCATTTGCTCTCCTTGAAAGAAAATTGTCTGAAAGTGAACAACCCCAAGACAGGTCACTGTAGAAATTTTTCCTTTGTGCTTAACTCCCTGAACACAGTTAAAAGAAACCATAAAATCGAAAACTCCAATTGAGCAGTGATATACATGGTGAGATACATTCCCAGAGGGATGAGGAACTTTGTGCAAAACCCAGAAAAAGAACATGAAGCAATAAGGCAATTATATTAGAAGTGAGAGATCAAGAAATAGGAAAGAAAATACAACTAAATCAGCTTTATACTTACAGAATTCAATATACCACTCTATATATTTCTGCTCCTACAAACCTGCCTTGCTTTCATCACATCCAAACCAGTTTATAAATGATATTGCAAATTATACAAGTAATTAAAAGCAATGTTATTTCTTCACATGCAGCTGGGATTACACAAAATTATACTGGAATTTCGCCTCTATGCTTAACTCTGGAAGACAATTGAAGTGCTCTGTAGAATCTGAAATTGGCAAGACTTCCCTTGATCTGGAGTGCTAACCTATGAACACAAATACATACTCATTGAGCGAAGGAACTTTATGCAAAGCACAGAAAAAGCAGATTAATGTAATAAGCCAGGCCAACAGAGGTAGGAGATAAGGAAAAGGAATTTAAATCAGGTTGACCACTATATGATTCATTATACTACTGTCTCTTTTTGCTCTTGCAAACCACTTCCCTTGCTTTCAATAAATCACTTCATAAGGATCTTTGTTCTTTAAATGTACAGTTTTCACTTATTCAGGATCTAATCAACTCCATCTAACCACAATTCCTTCTATTTCTTCCCTTCCTCTCAATGGAAACTTTTGCTCGTCCTTCTTTTCTTCCTTTTGTGATTCCATCCTCATTCCTTGTCTCTTTATGGTAAAACCTCAGTGTGTTTCATACTGTGTGCAACGTGATCACTGTAACAAATAGAATTAGGATTTGTTCGTTGTTGCCCACACCAACATCCTTGAAAAGGGGGGCAGAGGCTCACTCTTGTACAAAATTGCTATTTTGACTTCTTTTGACATTCATTCTTCAGGGCAAGCCATATGCTTAGTTTCTCCCAGGACTCACACCTCATAAAAGCTATCCATCCATTTTCCATCCTTAGGAAACTGTTGTGAATGAGAAAGATGGGACAGACTTCCGGTTTGCCAGGCAGCCACCATGGATGGCTGGGAGATTTGCTCTCTCTCTCCCCCCCCCCCCCGTTCAGTTTTGCATCGCTGGGGGCCCCTGAAAAGGGCCGAAAGTCACCCCGAAGAGGCGACCACCAAGGAGGGGCTTTCGCTGGATCGTGGGAGAGCAGCAACTCTCTCCTTAGAAAAGGCAATCCCTCCAAACTGGCTGACGAAAGGACCGGCCATAGAAATATGGCTCCTCCCTAGGCTGCTAACAGCTCAAGTCACATTACCATCTAGAAACTTCAAAGCAGTGTGGAAAGGACTGGGTGAGAATTACCTCTCTTACATCCTAATTACTTAATTACCTGCATAAGCTGCTAAAGTACTTTCCCCCCTGTGGAGAGAGAAGGGGGATTTTAGCCCTCCCTCCAGAAACAGCGGAAATTGAATATACAGGGGAGCTTCCCCCCCCTTTTTTGAAAACTTTGAAAAAATAAATGGATCCCAATTAGAACTTTATTTCTTAAAGCTTGTGGATTAAAAGATTTTTGATTATCTGCTTTTTACTTTTAATTTTTATTCGAAAGTCTGGGTTTTTCTTCTTAAAAATAGAAAAATCCCCCCCCCCCAAAGGATTACAATAACTTTAAAGGAATTCCTTAAACATTGGGTGACATTTTATGGCTAAACCTGAAATTGCAATTTATTATTTTTAAAGAAAAGAGACCTGGCTGACAGTTTAGGAAACAAGATAAGATTTATCTGGTAACCTTGAATACCAGCTGTGAGAGTTTTAGCTCTGTTTCTTATTTATTGGGGGGGGGGGACTGTGAAAGTTTTCAATTCAACTCATCACTATGGAAGTCCAGGAACAGAAATGCAAAAACAAATCTTTGCTATGTTGAAAATAACTGACCAAACTTACCAAAGTGTTCTTAAAGCTGGCTATGAAATAAGAGCTTTCGGGAAAAAAAATCAGAAAGCATATGCAAACTCAAACTTTGATTGTAACTAAAAACCTATCTATACAGAATACAATAGAAAAAAGCAAACAATTAAATACTATGACAGAAGACCTAATTGTCCAACAAATACAGACAATAGAAAACTCAGAAAAAAATCTGACAGCATGGATGGAGGAAAACACCTGCTATATAAATCAGAAGGAATTTGAAGATCAAGATAAGAAACAGATGGAAGAAAAGATAATTCAGAAAAACTACGTCAAGAGGAGAAAATAAAGAGATGATCTGATAGTCCTGCCAGACCCCTCAGCCTTCCAAAAATGGCGACTGGATGGTCATCTCAATATGACATAATATATACAATAATACAAGAAATCTTTGAGGATCCTGAAGCAAGGACATGGAAGATGATTTGGCAAAGGAAAAAAGCCAGAATAAGATTGAAGAAGAATGGAGTGTGGGCATATTTAGGAAGTTTAAAATAGAATATACTTTAGTAGACAAGACCTGTATTTTGAATATGAGATATTGTTGTGATGTGAAGATAAAGAAAAATGTTGGCTAATTAAAGCCTAGATGCATAAATATCAAGTTAAATTGAAATATTGAGGTGTTTATAAAGGTTAGATAAAGATGATTAAGACTTATGTATGTTAAGAGTGATGTAACGTAATTAACATGTTTTGGTGTAGTGATAAGAATAAAAATTATGCTTAAATATGAGAAAGTGGATATAAGGAAGAATGCTGAAATGGGAGAAATTTTGGTTATTGAATTTATAATATTTGGAAATTATAATGAAAATAAGAATGTTATATTGTATTACTAATTTGTTGATATAGAAGTGAGATAGATAAGATATATATTCAAAATATTAGATGTTGGGGGGAATTGTGACAAAGGGAATTGGGGTCATTTAAATTTTTTTGGAAATGATAAATATTAAAATGCAAAATTAAAGCTGGGAAAATTCATAAGGTTATTGATGGTCTAAAAGATGGAATGTTAAAATAAATAAGACATAAAATTATTGATAAATGTAAGAAAGCTATTAAGTAGCTGATGGATAGAATAAGAAGTATACTAATTTAAACAAGAGACAGTATGTATTAAGGGAAAAAAGAGAGGAAATATTGGCTGTAATAGTTGGAGATTTGTATTAATAATACCTGTATGTAATGGAATTATTGTAACTCAGATATCACGTTGCTTTTCAAAGATATAATTGTAACATTGGAAAATTAATAAAAAGTTATATTAAAAAAGAGAAAGATATTACACAGTTCTGAGGAAGAAAATTACGCTTTTTGAAAGAACAGTAAATCAGTTTCCGATTACAAGGGAAAAGGAACAGAGTATAATAGAATTCTTTTATAGGAATTTTGAATTGTGGGGTGAGAAAGTTTAGGACTCTAGTTCACTGTTAGGATCTTGTGAGCAAATAGGAAAAACTGGATGAGTTTGATTGTGTAAGCGAGCTGTTTTATCATTAAAATATTCTATGTGTTACAGAGGCAACAGTGATGCTAGAAATAAGCATTGTTTCTTGTTAGTAAATGAAGATATATTGTTGAGATTAGGTGTCAGTTACTTTGTTCAATTGTCTTAGTCTTTTTTTCTCTCAGGACCTTACACTTTTTCTCTCAGGATCTTAAACTTTTTTCTCTCAGGATCTTAAACTTTTTTCTCTCAGGATCTTAAACTTTTTTCTCTCAGGAACTCTTCCCACTTTTGAAAATTTATGAAGGACCCCAAAGACTTTTTATTTGCATGGGTTATACTTATTGATATTTACCCCACTTCCCACTTCAGCTACAACACTTTTTATGAAGATACACATAATTTTCTACTTGTAATAATTTTTCACAATCACTTGCAATTCTTCACTCTACTGTATTTACTTCATCAAATACAGCCCGCCTAGTTTTGGGTGCATTAATTTTCAGATTAACACTTCCTGTTTTATCAGACATTCTTTCAAATATTCACTGCAAATCATTGAGATTGTCAGCCGACCACAAGCTCTATCATTTGAAAACTGCACACAAAAAACTATACACAAAACATCAAAAGTGCAGCAAAGATATACACAAACACCACCGCAACTTCTTTCGAATTAGGTTCTACCCAAATATATATGCATATATATCCTAATGCATATATATCCCGGCAGCTCAACTTGAGCATCTGATAATCTAATTAAGTAAACTGAGATCAATGAACACATATTTAATTCATTTAAAGTAGCTTGACTGACACAACATACTACAGTACAAAAGACCAAGAAAAAAAATTAAAAGTAGCTGAACTTCATGTATATAGATGCAATGGCCAACTTTAATGGAACTAATTAAGAATTTTGTGACAATTCAGCATTCAATCATGGCCTGTCCAGAGTTGCTCAACAATGAAATGGGCAGCATATAAATAAATAAATTACCAAGAAAGACTGGGAAAATTGTTCCCCCAAGAGTCTGAAAAACAAGGGATTCCTCCCAAATTTCACTGCAGAAGAGACTTTTGAAATAAATTTCTTGAAGACCCTTGTGGCCAATTCTTAGGATTAAAATATTCATCAGTGGAACTGACTGCTTGTTGGAGTGCTCACATTGTGCCTCTGTCTAAGCTTAAATCCTCCAAGGGCAAACAATTATATGGCCCATAAGCATCCAGAAAGCCACCTCCAGAACCTCCCAGCATTTTGGGAAAGGGGGGCAACCCTCCCCCAACTTATTGACTCACCTCTAGAAGTCCAACACTGACTGGCCAACCACCACCCTGCAAAGAAGATCAGGCTGTTAGAGACACAGAGGAACCAAGAAATTGGAAGCAGTGGTGAGTTCCCCCCACACCTCTATCAAACAGCATATATGATTCTCTTTCCCTTCCAATTGGTCAGATACCAACCAAAGAAAAGGATGTTAAAGGATAACTTCATCTTCAAAGTTCCCTCAGTTCTACAGCCAGGATAGTCTTCTCAGCTCTTCTCATTTGCAGAAAATGGTCCCCACTGAGGATTTGTACCTCCAACACAGACTGGGTTATGTAAATGTAATTTCCAACCATGACCTCTGTGAGATCTCACTTTGATGTCATTCACAGTCAACAGGCCTTGTCATTTGCAAACCACATCCCCTTTTTCTATTGTCAAAGAAGCATAAAATGTACCAAGGGGAAGGAATGTACAGCAAACCCCACAGCTGGGAAGATTTTTCAAAATGAACCAGATAAGTTAATGATATTTTTCCTCTTTAGCAGTTTTCTCATGAAAAGAATTGTGACTTCTGGAATGGAGAGCATCTGGCTCCATCCTCTGTGAGACCTATTCCAAGGTGGGTGGGATGGTAACAAGCACCCACCTTGGGGGAAGGAAAATTACACACTGAAAAACATGAACAATTGCACAATGCATGTGGAAGCCTTTAAGCTTGCGATTTCTATTGCTAAAGAAAACCCCCAATCATCATTAACCCAAGAAAGAAATGTGGGTGTGAAGAATACCTGATGTGGCATTTCTGAAGAGTATCATACCCAGCAGCAGTAGCATGAAGGATCAAGAATGACACATCTTGGCAACTATCATTCAGTAACATCCAAAAGGCCATATAGTCCCCAGCCTCTATCATAACAGTTGGCAACCAGCTAGCAGTTGCAGTGTTTTTTTTTCTCAGTTTTTAAATAAGTATATCCTAAATTGATTTATTTTATTTATTTAGAAGATTTGTATTGCTGCCTGCTCACACATGGTGACTCAAGGCAGCTTACATAAATAAAAAACACCCTATAAAAAACTAAAATAACAAGAGGAAGAATCAAATGATATAATAGCCCCCCACGCTCCACCCCGGCAACAACACACATTAAACAAGCCATTTGCTGGGCTCTATCCCACTCTAAGTTCCCCATGCCCGCTGACAGAACCAATTCTTCAGTGCCTTCTGGAAGAGTGTTAGAGTGGGGGCCAGTCTAATCTCTGAGGGAATGATGTTCCAGAGAGAGGGAGCCACCACGGAAAAGGCCCTTCATTTGGATCCTGACAGATGCATCTCCTAGGGGACAGGACCCGCAACATTCCTTGCCTCCCCACTTTAGTGGGTCAGGTAGATGTGACTGGCAAGAGACAGTCCCTCAGATAACCTGGTCCCAAGCTATGAAGGGTGTTGAGTCCGTCGCGAAATGGCAAGACACGAGAAACAGTTGTAGTTCTCAGGAAACCTTTATTCATCAGTTCAGCTTACATTGGAATATGGCGGTAACGCCCAAAACTCTCGGCCTCCTTGTATAGGACTTTCCCGGGTCAATGTGTTACTTTTCGCGCGCCAGTACTTGCGCATGCGCACAAGCACTGGCGACAGCCTGTCTGGTCCCGGGCAGCTTGCACCTGCCCGGGACCGCCTGCAATGCCCCGAGGCTGCTTGCAAGGCTCAGGACATAACACCCCTTTCCCCCGGGCTAAAACTACGACCAATGCCATAATAACAAACAACCCATTTTCTTAATGCAGTGCTCTACTCCCCCATTGTTCCTACTCTTCTACTGACTCTTTTTAGCCAGTAGTGTTATGTAGTCCTCTAAGTACCTAGGAGATTTCCTTGCTCTCTGTGACCTCCTAAGCTCTGGGTGTCTGGCAGGTGCCCCCTGACTGAGGGGTGACGTGTGCCTGTTTCCCTTATCATGCCTTGGTGCCTCCCAAGGACCGTGCCCCAATGCCTGGCCTGCTTGCTTGCCCACCGGGCTCGTCAGGCCAGGGCTTCTTCCAGTATATGACCTGGTTGTCCCACCTAGCTGTAGGCTCTCTGGCCCTTCTAAGTGACTGTCACTGTTGGGCGTTTCTGTAGAACCTCCTAGGTCCATCCAAGACCTGTCAGGAGGCTGTCTATCCCCTGAATCCCGTTCTGTGTCCGGGCTTGTGTGGGGTTCAGTACTGTCCCAAAACTCAGTTGTCCCCTGAGTGTAGTCAGAGGTGTTGTAGTCGGGATTTGGTTCCTCGACCACCTCCCTGTGTGTTTGCCCCCTTCTAGGGACAGGGTTCAAGTCAGGCCAACTAGGAGGAGTGTGTGCCAGCTCTCTTGCAGGGAATGGATTGTTGGGATGCTCCCGGGGATTCTCTCTGACTGGAGTACTGAGTGATGTGGGTGAGAAGTGATCATGCCCCCGGGGTGACTCCCTGGCTGGAGTAGGCATTGATGCCTGGGTTCTAGTTGGGCTCCATGACTTCCTGTTGGGAGCAATTGCGGAATCTCGGGATGGGCTGATTGTGGCTTCCCCATTGATGATGGGCATCATTCCATGCTCCTCCCTTTGCCCAAAGGGATCCCCCTCCCCCCTGGAAAAGACCCAGGAGTCTCAGCGGGAAGGTCCCATCTAGGGCGAAGTTGGTCAATGTGCCGACGCAGGACACGACCGTTGTCCAGGGATACCTTGTAGGATAGAGGACCTGTGACCCTGGATATAGATGTGGGGACCCATGTATGACCAGGCCCGTAATTACGAGTCCAAACCGGGGCACCCACAAGTAGTTGCCTAGGTGCCCTGAGGTGTGAGACAGAAGGAGGCAGTCTGTCCGGATGCAACCGGTCAAGCTTGGTAGTCAGTTTGCGCCCCCAACGAAGTTCAGCTGGGCTTCTCCCTGTAGAAGTGGACGGTGTGGTGCGATAAGAAAGGAGGAAGTCAGCCAACCTGTGATGCCAGTCCCCGTAGGTGAGCTTCTTCAAGGCGTCCTTGGTGATGTGAACCATGCGTTCAGCCATACCGTTGGTGGATGGGTGGAAAGGTGCAGAAGTGGCATGATGAATCATGTTAGCCTGCAAGAAAGCTTGGAATTCGGAGGAAGTGAATTGAGGGCCGTTGTCAGACACAATGACGTCTGGGAGCCCGTGTGCAGCAAAAATCCCCCTCAGTACCTGAATAGTCTTTGCAGTGGTGGTGGAAGAGACAGGTACAACCTCAAGCCATTTTGAATGGCTGTCAACGAGGACCAAGAAGAATTGACCCTGAAAGGGCCCAGCGTAGTCAATGTGCACCCTAGACCATGGAGACTGTGTTTCCTCCCATCTATGCACAGGAGCTTGGGGCATTTCAGGGCGTGAACGTTGACAAAGGTGGCAAGCATGCACCTTAGCTTCTATGTCTTTGTCTACCCCTGGCCACCACAAGTGGCTGCGTGCAAGAGCCTTCATTCGAACAATGCCAGGATGACCCTCGTGGAGGGAATCTAAGACCCTAGTCCTCATTGAGGTGGGAATGACAACCCTGCTTCCCCAAAGCAGACAACCCTGAGAGGTGGACAACTCGTTCCTTTTGGACCAGAAACTCTGAAACTCAGGACTAGGACAGTGCTCAGGTCATCCAGACAAAACCCAAGAAACGACACGTGAAAGTGTGTGATCTGTGTCTGATTCAGCGGCTACATCCCTGGCATTCAGAGGGGACTTGGGCAAGGCTTGAATGAAGAGAATATTGATGGCTGGCGTGGGGTCAGCCTCTATTACCAGCAGGGGTAATCTACTGAGGCCATCAGCATGGCCCATTTCCTTCCCAGGCTTGTGAAGTAGGGAAAAATCATATGCAGACAAAAAGATAGACCACCTGAGCATCCTGGGGGAGATGATTTGGGGAGTCTGTTTACGTGTGGTAAACAGTCCCAGCAGAGGCTTATGGTCAGTGAAGACCGTGAAATGCCTACCATATAAAAAATCATGGAATTTTTTAATTCCTGCAACGACAGCTAAGGCTTCCCTGTCTATTTGAGCATAGTTGCGCTCAGCTGAAGACAATGTTCTGGAGTAATGTGCAACAGGAACCTGAGTTCCATCAGACCTGAGGTGGCTCAGAACAGCACCTACCCCATAAGGGGAAGCATCACAAGCGATGCACACAGGAAGGGACTCATTGAAGTGAGCAAGTACACTGTTAGAAGTGAGCAAGGCCTTGACCTCATTGAAACTAGCCTCATGTGTTTGTGACCACTGCCACACTGCCTGTTTATCTAATAGCCTGTGAAGAGGCTCAGCTACACTAGCCTTGTGTGGAAGAAAGGAATTGTAGAAATTCAGAAGGCCCAGAAAAGCCTGTAGTTCGGCCTTAGACTTTGGCCTAGGGGCTTGCATAATGGCTTTTAGTTTGGATTCAGCAGGATGAATCCCAGCAGCATCAATTTTGAACCCCAGAAACTCAGTAGAAGGCACCCCAATTTTACATTTGTCCTTCTTGAGTTTGAGTCCCGTTTTCCTGAACCTTAATAGGACAGCCCTTAGCCTTTCAGCTAGAATGTGTGTGGAGTCTCCTGCAATTAAGACATCATCAAAATAGGGGCAAACCCCTGGTATACCCCGTAGTGTGTTTTCCATTACGCTTTGGAAAATCCCAGGAGCGACATTTACTCCAAATTGAAGTCTCTTTACCTTGAAAGCCCCTCTGTGGGTCACAATAGTCTGAGCTATAGCAGCGTCATCATCAACAGGCAGCTGTTGATATGCTTGAGCTAGGTCAAGCTTTGCAAAAACGAGCCCCTCCTTGAGGGAGGCCAGGATATGACTGACCACAGGAACAGGGTAGGCATGTTGCTGCAATGCCTTATTTAGAGTGCATTTGTAATCAGCACAGATGTGAATGTCCCCATTTGCCTTAAGAGGCGTGACAATGGGGGTCTCCCATGGACTGGAGTCAACTGGTTCTAGAATTCCTTGTTGGATCAGTTTATCCAATTCAGTGTCAATTTTACTCTTTAAAGCAAAAGGGACCCTTCTTGCTTTAATTCTAATGGGAGTGACAGTGGGGTTTAGCTTTAAGGACACAGGAGGTCCTTTGAACGTGCCCAGCTGGGGGCTGAAAACATCTGCAAATTCTTTGCAGACTTCCTGTAGGTCGAGTGTTTGTAGGCTGTTGAGCCCTGTGATGTGTATTCCCAAGGCCTCAAACCAATCGAGTCTTATGAGACTCGTTCGTTCACCCCCTTGTGGTCTAAGGAGCCGAGAACTGCAATAGAAGATCTTTGCTAAAGAGACTATCTCATTTCAAGACACGTTGAGGGAGATAATG